CTAAACTTACTTCGGCTTATGTGAAGTTTTGTTTGTTCTGTATTTACCTCCTCTAACTCACATATTTGTATCTTCTGTATTTGGGGAATGACTATATTCCCTCTTTCCATTCTTTTCATGATTTGATAAACTCATGTTCTTCCCCAAACTTCATCTTTCTGGATTAATAGTTTTCACCTGGGAAGGGAAGAATATAAAAGAAACGGGAGGAAATTTGCCAGAAACATCTGGGCTTTTCCAAACACAGTGAATCTGCTCCCTTTTTCCCTGAGATTATCAAAACCTTGGCTGGGGAAATCTGTATTTTGAGAATTTCCATTTGTAAATGTAATGGCCAACACCCTCTATGCTGTTGTAAACACTATGCTGAATGGAAGAACCCTAATTTTTTTGTTTTTCATAAGGCGCAGCCTTCATTTCTGTGATAGTTCATGTTTGATACTCAGGCGGAATAGTTCCCAGTCATTGTGGGACCTTCAGTGGTTGGGGTTGCAATGAAAGTTCACAGTCATAAAAATTAAATTGGTGCTGAGCTCTGAAGCCCGGAGAACTGTTAGACCCTCCCTGATACAGGTCAGCCTTATCCAGTAGCTTCTTACTTGCTTATTTCCCAGTGGTTTTCCCTGGACAGATTGCTCACGTGACTGAAGACAACCAGAGATGGAAGGGGCCAACAGCAGCTTCTGGGAGGGCTTCATTCTGATGGGTGTGTCTGACCATCCCCGGCTGGAGATGACCTTTTTCACTGTCATCCTCTGCTCTTACTTGCTGACCCTAGTTGGGAACTCGGCCATCATTCTGCTCTCCCGCCTGGATGCCCGGCTTCACACACCCATGTACTTCTTCCTCAGCAACCTCTCCTCCCTGGACATTGCCTTTACTACTAGCTCGGTCCCCCAAATGCTTATCAACTTATGGGGACCAGACAAGACCATCAGTTTTGGTGGCTGTGTGACCCAGCTCTATGTTTTCCTCTGGCTGGGGGCCACTGAGTGCATCCTGCTTGTGGTGATGGCATTTGACCGCTACGTGGCAGTTTGCCAGCCCCTGCACTACACCGCCGTCATGAGCCCTCGGCTCTGCGGGCTGCTGGCTGCCATTGCCTGGCTTGGGGGCCTAGGCAACTCTGTGATCCAGTCAACGTTCACTCTGCAGCTCCCACTGTGTGGGCACCGGAGGGTGGACAGCTTCCTGTGCGAGGTGCCTGCCATGATCAAGCTGGCCTGCGGAGACACGAGTCTCAATGAGGCTGTGCTCAATGGCGTGTGCACCTTCTTCACTGCTGTCCCTCTAAGCATCATCCTGGCCTCCTACTGCCACATAGCCCGGGCGGTGCTGAAGATCCGCTCGGCCGAGGGCCGGAGAAAGACCTTCAACACGTGCCTCTCCCATCTGGTGGTGGTGTTGCTCTTCTATGGCTCGGCTATCTACGGGTACCTGCTTCCAGCCAAGACCGGCAACCGCGACCAGGGAAAATTCATTTCCCTCTTCTACGCCGTGGCCACGCCCATGGTGAACCCTCTCATCTACACTCTGAGGAACAAGGAGGTGAAGGGGGCGCTGAGGAGGATGCTGGGGAAGGGAAGAGAAGCTGGCTGAGGGAGGGAAAACATCATTCACTGCGTCTTCCTCCCTACACACTGCAGCCCTACCCCCCCTGGCCAGGTGAACCCGGGTACTAACCCCAGTACTACCAAGGCATGTTCCTGACAACACTAAGCTGCTGGGACACGGTTAGTGTTATTTCTAATGTTTGACACTATTTAAGAAACATATTCTACCACGGACTACAGATAACAGGGCAGATGTGTGTAACCAACGGCTCTAAACTTGTCAACTTAGTACAGACCAAGCTCACTGTCTGTTATCCACATGTTATTACATATTTATTGTGTGTAATCAAGCCATTCATTATTTTAAGTATTTAATTAATTATTAACAATGGATAATTATAAAATCTATTTAATAAATGTGTTACATGTAATAAATATTAAATTTTTTATGTTTCTGGTATTTCTAGGGAATTTTGTACTTCTCTGAAGAAAGCACCTCCACTGTCGACAATGATAAGGAACAATAGCATGTCTTACGTGCTGCTCGGGGAGGGGGAATGGTAAAACCATTTTAGCATTACTTAGTAAAGTTAATATTGTGTATACCTAACAGTGTGCATCCTCTATCATTTACTGTAGGGATAGTCTTTCACAGATACAGCCGATATATGTACAAAATTGTTCATAGCAGCATTGTTTATAATAAGCAAAAGTCAGAAACAACCCAAATGCCCACTAATAGGAGAAAAGATAAATGAAATTGTGGAAGTCATGTGGTGGAATACTATATACAGCAAGAAAAATGAATAAAATACAGTTATATACATCAATTTGGATATAGTTCACAAATGTAATGTTAAGTGAAAAAAGAAAGTTGCATAAAATGTAAGACACAAAAACTTCCTGCAGCCATGTAAGAAGAGGTCATTATTTGGATAATAGAAAGAAGGGTTACCCTGGAAAGCTAGAAAACTTGTAGACATACATGGATATGTGATGGGATTAGAGGTGATTCTTATTTTCTTTCTTTGATTTGGTCCTGGCCCTAAGCTCCACTGAGAGATATGCTTGGCAGCCATTGCCTGGACCACACAATGCCAGCTGTGGGCCCTCCACTGTGCAGCCCTCAAGGACCGGTGCCTCTGCCTGCAGTTATCACCTCTGGCCTTGAGAATTAATTTTGACGACTCTTTCATGCAGATGCCTGCCATGCTACAGCTGCCCATCTGCGAGCAGCACAGAAGTTGACTACTTCCTTTATGAGATGTTCACCTTGTTAAAGCCTACATGTAAAGATAAACATTTCAAATAGTTCAAGGTCTTTGTGGCCATATTCATCTTCCTACTGGTCTCTGTGAGCTTGATCTTGTCATCTGTGGCCACATTGCCAAAGCTGTCCAAGAACTGCTCAGCCAAGGACAGAGGAGAAAAGGCATCTAGAGCCTGCAGTTCCCACATGGTGGAGGAGGGCTCCTCTTTGGGACAGTCACCTAGGACTATCCAGACTAAGAACAGCTACTTCCTTGATCAGACCAAGTTCCTCATACTTATCCTGTTCTTATCATATTACATCCTAGCTCTACTCTCTCATCTACAGCCTGAGGAACAAGAACCTTAAGGATGCTCTGAAGAAGCTTCTAGGATGCTGAAGGGACAAGTGACTATGGCCATGGACTGCTCTTGCTTCTCCCCTTGATCAGACTGTTATTTCTTTCTCTTTCCTGTCAATGTATCCTTGTAGCTACCCTGCCCTTTGACTAGAGAGGCAACAAGATACATTGCAGTTCATGACACTAGAAGCCAAGAGACTTGATCATTTTAGTATACACTGTAACTAATTAGCTGTGGTAGCCAGTGGATCTTGTTTGATCATATGTAAAATGAATATAATCGCTGGCAGGAACTTTGTACAATTTCAAAATAGTTAATGCATGTGTCAGTTCTTAGAGAAAAACTTAAGATAGAACACATTCCTTAAGGTTTATCAGTCTATCTCATTGTCCACCTTGCTTCATTTGTATCCTAGTCAAGTACTCCTTCATTGTGCAACCAGAGCTTTCATGAACGATGAGTGGATGAAGAGGGGCCAGAAAAAAGGCAGACAGACCACTTAAAAGACTCCACTAATTTTTCCCTCACTCCCCTTTCCAATCAATCCGAATAACACACACACACACACACACACACACACACACGAAAATAAGTATTTGAATATCCATCAAGAAGGAAATTATTGACGATATAATGGTACATTATGTTAATTTTGAAAATAAAACTGCCAGTTATTTTACGACCAAACACGGATTTATTGGGAACACCAGAGAATTGCAACTCGGTACAAGCAAAGTATGGCAGAGCCAAAAGCTTCTCGAGAGAATACAAGAGAGGAGACTGTTAACAGAAGAGGAGGAAGGGTTTGGGGCGTGGGGGACAGTTCTATCAAAAAGCCCATTGGAGGAAACCGGGAATCCCACGTGTTGCGGCTGCTCAGTGGCTGAGTCGTCACAGTCTCTCATTGGTCGGGCTGTTGCTCTTCCCTCCTCCTGGAGAGTTCGGAATTAGCCAAACTGGTATAGGTGGTAAGGCGCCTGTGTCTTCCTGTGCAGTCTGCACTTCACCGGGAGTAGTGAACCTGCGAGCTCCGCCCGCATGCCTTCTGGTTGCCGTGTCAGTGAGGCTTCCCTTTATCCGTTTTCACGATTACTAAATATAGCAGTTAAAAAAGGGGGAGATTTATATACTGAAGCAGAAAACCTTGAATGAAAAGGACACAAGCAAAATTACAGATTAAGGCCCACAAGATAAACACATTCAATAACAGTTATTTTCTGGTGAGGGAGCCTAGTTTGGGGGACTAAGGGATAGAGAGCAGTTTTCAGTGCGAATGTTCTGCGATACTTACGGTTATTAAAAAGTAAAAACAGTGGTAAAAATATAGAGTTAGAAGTGAGTTCTACTCCTACTTCTATCATTAGCGACTTAGAAACTATCGGTTTCCTCATTGGAGGATTAAAACAGTAGGAATATAACTCATAGGATTACTGTGAGGATTTTGTTAGTATGTACGTATTTAAAACTGCCAATCACACGGCACGCGTCACAGCTTGTGGATTATTTTCATTGCCACTTCCGCAAAACAGGGTGGAAGTCCAGGCAGGCTGAGACCGAAGACCCACAGAACTGAGAGACAGAAACGTGGGAAGGAAACCAGCAAAGCCAACAGAAGTACACCCCGCGGCGGGTCTGACAAAGTTCCGAGTCAGGGACTGATCTGCAAAAAGGGTGATTGGTCACAGGGTATGACGCAGTAGGACTCTGCCCACCCACTGGCCAAAAGTGCTGTCGATTAGTGGAGGGAGAGGGGCTTTGAATATAGCGTGACCGGCGCAGCACGACCCTCGCGTCCCTTTACGGGCGCAGCGCTTGCGCATGCGTCATGCCTTCGGGCGGTCCCAGCGTGCCCCGCGGCAGCTTCCGGCCGAGCGCTGTGGAAAGTTGGCTTGGCTGGTGAGTGGCTCCTGCGGACGCGGCTTTGCCTAGCGGGCCCGGTCTCGAGCGCTCCCCTGCGCACTCTAGCCTGCAGCTGTCGTCTGCGAAGTAGGATCCGGGTGCAGAGATGCGGTGTGGCCGGGGGCCGGCACCCCCACCCGCTGTGGGGAGGCGTGGGCACGAGGCAGCCCGGTGCGCCGGCCCGTTTGCCTCCGGGCGAAGCACCTTTCAGAAACGCTGAGCCCTTGCGGTTTACACGAGGAAAGCACGGCCACCGAGGCCCTACGGCGCCCTGGTGCCCCCCTGTGCGGGCGGTGGGCTCGCGAAGACCGCCCAGACACGCCCTTTGCCCGCAGCTGCCAAGCTCGTGGCGTAGATAAAGCCGCCAGAAACAAATTCTGGCGGTTAGAGGTGAGAAACGGCGTTCGAGGAGCGTGGACAGGGACGAGGAGTTGAGAACTTCAGGAAGCAAGCACGTGGTGTTGGTAGCGCCTTGGCCGTGTGGGTTCCTTGCTTTCTTTGTTGGTACCTCGTTAGGACCCAAATTTCTGCTCGTGTCTACGTTCCTTCTTTCTAAGCTCGGTGCCCCTCCTGCCTTGGCTGGGAGGGACGGAGACCCGCAGCGCAAACTGTTGGGAGCCAAGGGCGAGAGTGAGTCAGGCTTAGGGAGCGCGTATTCCAGGCAAAGGCACTGAGCCCGAGGCGCAGAACCTGTCCCAGGACTGAACTCCTGAGCCGGGCTGAAGGCCGTGCGGGAGGCTCCGTAGTATGACGCCCTGATGTCTAACCATCGGGGTCCCCAATGGATGATGCCTCGCCGGGAAGGCGGACTGGGTGTACCCTGTAGCCCAGGAACAGGAGTCCTGGGTTGTTGCCAGACTGACTGGAAAGGCAGTCCCCTCACAGGGGAGGCGTAGCAGAGGGGCCAGAGGAAAGGAAAGTGGGTAAGAGGCTTGAGGGATTCTGCTCCTGTTTTGACTGTGACCATCCGTGTCCCATAGTAAAGGAATGAAATGGTGACAGTCTCTAGGCTGTACTTCTCTGGTTGAGAATATTTGGTCCAGTCTATTGGAGATGGTTAGGCATCCCTGGGAAAAAGGGAGTGAATTGAAAAATTGTATCGATTAGTTAAAATGATCCAGGGGGTATTTATAGAAGATACTGGAAGCCCCAGGTACTCATAAAGCAGTGTGGAGGGTGAAGGCAACCTAAACATACAGATTGAGTGGGTACCTGGAATTCCCTGGGCAGGGCAGACCCAGGAGTGGGAGGATCCTGCTAGTGAGGCCTTCATCGGCACTTCCGCCTCCTGAGCACTTCACTGACGTTCCCTGGGGCTCTCCATCTGTCAAGTCCAGCTCCTTTGGCCTGGTACCCACAGCCCGTCAGTAACCCGTCCAGCCCTGGGCTGTTTCCCCACCGTGAATCTCCCGTGAGGCAGAGCATCCTCAGGAGGCCACGTGCAAGCCCACCCTTTGCCGTTACCCAGGCTTTGTGAAGATGTTAGTTTTCCCTCTAGTCCTGAGGGGAGTCTGTACCTCTGGGAACTGGCCTGCCGAGCTTACCCTGATGGCCGTACCAAGGGCGGTAGTGCAGGGACACGTGGGGGCCCAGGGCAGGCTCATCCTGAGGAACACTGGGGTCTTATGTCCCGCTTGTTGTACTTCTTCCCTAAATGAACCAAGTCTTCGTCTTTGAGGTAGAATGTACATTCTTGTCTCATATGTAATGCCCCAGAAAGTATGCAGCAGAAACCGTGGCTCTTATTTTTCACCATGAATTATACGAGGCACTAAGGCCTTGTGAGCACAGGCCACGATCCACGGACAGTTTCCCCACCTTCACCCAGGTTTTCCCCATGGAGATTCCACAGAAGCTGAGCCCTCCGGGCCATGGTCAGGGTCAGGACTCCTCATACACCCCCTTTCCTTTCTCCTGCAGCCCCTCTGTCTTCCTCTGTCCTGTGACCTTGAGTGCAGGCCTCTCCTGGCCCAGTTTGGTCCCTCCTCCCTGATTCCTGCCCCTTACTTCCTCTCTGCATGCCCCGCTGCCCTGAAGCAGCTTCTGCACTTCAGTCCTCTTCAGGACCCTGCAGGCTTCTGCAAAAGTGTGAAGTTGCTAATGGAGAAAATGACAGTCAAAGGCCCGAAGTGGGGACAGAAGCAGCTTTATTATCATGAGAAAGAGCAGTGCTTTTACACTTGTAGAAACCTTTACTATGAGAAACCTGACACCGGGACTGGGGATGGTAGGGTGCAGGGAGATTAATGTAGATATTACAGTTGCTCAAGGGTTAGTCGCTTAGATTCAGTATTTCCCAGTAGCTCAACCTATTCTCTCCTTAGTCCCCTTGTAGTTGTTGATGGGGACACAGAGCACAGATGTGGCTTGAGGGTAGTGCTGCTGTCCAGCAGGAGGTGCCTAGAGGTCCGGTACTGGATGAAAACATATCCCATCTGGGCGACCAGCTTCACAAACCAGCTGAACCTGAGTGGAGTGAATGAGGAGCTTGAGGAAAATACAGAAAGAGATACAAAAATGCACAGAAACCAAAGCTGGGATCCAGAGGTTCACTGCCCATGGATGGTTGACAAATGATGCAGTTAATTTTCTGAGCACCACTTATATACAGAATCTCATAATGATGTCACTTCCGTTTCTAGTGATCTCACTTCTGGTGATGTCACTCCCTGGTGCAGAGATCTGGTGGTGTCACTTCTGGGGTGACATCACATCTGGCTCTCCACACCCACCTGTTAGCTTCTAGATGTGTTTCCCATGAGGGGAGAATGTCTGATCTGACTTTGCACAGGCCACGAGCCCCCCATAGTCCTATCAGAACAAGCTACCTTAGTGTCCCAAGAGGTTGTATGGGTCCCGTTACCTGTGCCCTTCAAAGCAGAATGGAAGGTCACAGTGAGACAGGACTCTGGGCCCAGGCAGAGCTAGTGAGATGCAGTACCCTTACACTGATCTGGTGTTCCACATCTTGCTGTCCGACTGCTGCTCTGCAAGGCTTAGCCAGTTCTGCACAAGCAGTGGGGAGCTCCAGGAATGCATGTGGGCCCAAGGATGTCACCTGTGAGGCTTCCTATTACTCACAGTACATCTCTTCCTCCCTGGGATGCGAGTGTTGTGTGTACCCCGATGACAGGTCAAGGTGGAGTTCTTTATGGAGCTTTGCTCACACTGAGAGCCCCTGAAATCTTCCCCCAGCATGAGTGGGCACTGCTGGGGAAGGTTTTCCCACACCACCCATGTCTTGGTGGGCTCTCCCCAGGGTGGCTTCGCTGGTGAGCGCTGACCTGGGAGCTGATGTGAGTCTTCCCACAGATGGCGCACTGAGATGGCTTCTCCCCGGTGTGGGTCCTGGGGGGACCGTGAGGCTGGAGCTCGGGTGGAGGCTTTTCCCACCCTGGAAGGGCCTCTGCCCGGTGTGCATTCATGGGTGGGCAGTGAGGGAGCAGCACTCTCTAAATTCCTTCCCACATTCATGGCACTCGGGTCTCCTGTCTGGACTCTGATGACCAACTAGGTGAGAACTTCACCTAAAGCTTTTCCCACATTCGTGACATTTAGAATCTTTTTCCCATTTGGGGGCCGGGTGGTGGTGCAGGGAGAGCTCTGAGGGCAGTTACTCCCTCACAGGAGAGGGGCACTGGTCTGCACCCCTGTAGAAAGTCTCGCTGACTCATGCTCTCCCCACACCGTGTCTCCTTGCTCTCCCCTGGAGAACGTCTGTGGCGCCTTCTGAGCATGGCTCACCCCCTGGAGTCCATGGAGCTCAGACTGCTGGACACAACGCAAGACCTTCCCCATGAATGTTTCTGTTCCCTGTGAGCATCCCGTTTTGGATTCTCTCTTAATCCCATTCTTGACCTCAAAGCCTGAAAGGAAAGAACTACATTGTAATAGAGAGAAGGAAGGAGAATGGCATGAGGAAGGAGCTGCCGTTCAACCACATAGAGAAGATACTTCTCCCGGGATCCGTCTTCTGAAGCTGATTCCGGTGAAGTGCTGTGAGCCCCCTGTGACACATCTGAGCTCCAAACTCTGGGCACGGGTACATGGGCCCCAAAGTCCACCCATCTTCCTCTTCTGGCACTTTTTGGAAGTTCTGACACCACGGCAAGAGGCAGAGAGGTGAACTGTGCTTCATCTTGTCACTCAGTCACCTATAGGGGTGTGTTCTCAACTCTTGTCCCAGCCTCTGGAGCAGAATAACAGAAGGCCACCCTGGGTTTGGCCAGCTTGACCACGAAGAGGGCAAGGTGCTGAGTACCTGGCACACGCAGGTAGGGAATGACAGGAGGGTCCATGCTGGAGAAGAGGGGATGGAGAGGGTCTGGAGGAGGCCTACCTAGCAACCCAAGGACGCAAAGTAAAGGATCTGCACTGGAGAAAATAACCTGGACTCCACAAAGGAGGCTGGCAAATGCCAAATCAGGGCTCTAACGTGCAAGGGAGAAAATGCCAACAGCGTGAAAACCATGACTCCCTGCCCGACAGAAGGTCACATGTCAACATGGTGACAAGACAAGCCAGAAAGGGCCCCCTCTTCATGCTGGGCTGCTGGCCTCTCAGTGGACACACTTTTCTCATCAGGCCCTGAGTCCTACACGTCTGTGTGGGAACAGCCCTGGCAGGTCCCATCCACCTTCCTGGCTGGGAGCCCTGAAGCCCTTTTCATCCTCGCCTGTACCATGCACACTGGCCCCTGCCACCTCGCCCCCGTGGTCTCCCCAGTCAGCTCCGCAGACGGCACATCGCTGCCTTCTTGGCTGGCACAGCCTCGCTTGCCACAGTAGGTGCAGAGGCCCCGAGGCTGGACGGCATCCTTTCCACCTGGAAGATCAGGGCCCAGGGACGTGGCCTCTCCTCCCTTTGCGGTCACTCAACCGCAGGCTTCTGAACTTGGAGCGACACTGCTCCCAGCGTTGTTCCCCAGCGCCCCGTAGATCTTCCCTTCTGCTGACGAGTGTGGAGGTTTTCATAAAACAGAAGTACCGAGAGTGGCCAGGAGTGTCTTGGTCTCTGTGTAGCCCAGTGCCCTCCTGCCAGGGATCGGGGCCCAGCCGTTGCACAGGGTGGACCCAGTATCCTGGCGCTGCTGTTAGCAGCCCAGGAAGTTACGTATTAATTTCTCAAACTCTGCCACAACTGGCTGCTGCCATTCCTGAGTGTTTTCCCTCAAACAAAGTCTGTCATTGTCATGGAAGAGACAGCCTCTGCAACTGAGAAGAAGAGTGTGGACCGGAGCCTCCCTCCTCATTTCTCCCTGATTCTGGATCCCACTCATTTTTCATGTGATAAGCCACGATGAGGGTCGTGTTCTCCAGGCTCTGCCCTGGGGTTCCCTGAGGGTTGTGGCCACATGAGGGGACGTGGTGAACAGGCGAGCCTTGGAGGAAGGCAGAGGCTCAGCGGAGAGCCCGCTTGGGCGATGATACTTCTGCGTACTCCCTCTGCTGGAGCCAGTGTAACCCCGGTCTGGCTCTTCCCTGTGGTTGTATTTCCTGGCATCACTTAGCTGCAGGAAACAGCAATCATTCGTGACTGAGATCAGCAGCATACACCTGAGAAGGGCAGAGCAGGCTAGTTGGTTACTCAGGAACTCCCAGTGTGCACCTGGGCCGGGTGGTGAGGGCTCATTTGTCCAGGGCTGTCCCGGCAGGTGCCTTCTCGTGGCCTCTGCTCGTGATGCTCTGAAGGGCACACCCTCCTCGCCCCTCTGCTGCCCTCTGCTGCTAGCCCGTCACCTCATGCCTGTGTTACTGCCTTGGCCTCCAAGAGTGAGCGACCTCCTGTCTGGTATCATGATTATCACAGTCCTGTAAAAGCCTGTGTAATAGGGGACACATATATGTGTACATAGTTACATGCCAGATGAACTGAAATACTCTAAACTGGCTCTTCTAAAAATATTTATCCTCTGTTCAGAAGCATTTCACTCAGTAAAAGTAAACGTTCTTACAAAGTCTTTATGTAGGACTTCCCAAACCCTGTATTCTCAAATTATCTGTGAAGAAGGTTTTTTGTGTTATATAAAATACAACAAAAGCAGTTGCACGGTACAGTGTCAAACTGCTCTAAGTCTGGAAGCGCCCGCCCCACCTCGGCTCCCACCTCCTGCAGCAGCGGGCTGTGCCCCAGCTCTGACCTCATGCACCCTCATCCTCTGTCTGTGCTGATCACACTGGTCCCCTGTGCTGGCAGCTCCCTTCCCCTGTAACACCCTCACCCCAGAGAGCCACGTGGCTCCTTCCTTCTGCTTCAGGCCTTAAGAGTTCCTTGGTGAGAACTCCTCTGGCAGCCCAAACTAAACAGGTGGCCCACCGCAGCCCTGCACACTTGATGACTGATTCTGCAGTGGAACCCGATTCTTAGGCTGACTTGACAAGTCTGGGTTCCCACAGCAGCAGCTGCTGGGCAGCACCCGCCTTCCACACCACAGAGAGAGAACTGTTCCCCAGGCTGCCATTGTCATGATGTGCTGTAAACAAAACCGAGACACAGCACCTAGTCAGACAGTTCACTGCTTTTGTGACAGAAACATACCTGGCTTAAGCTTTCTAGTTTCACAACTCCAAAGAAAATCCTTGGTTTACCCAGACAACATAAGGGGTTAGGGACCCTGTGTGCACGTGCACACAGCCGAAGGAATGGCTTTACGCTGGGTATCCATGATAGCCTTTATCCCAACATACCCCAACAGTGAGGTAACAGGAGCCCCCTTCCATTTAAAGCCGGAAGACAGAACCCAGCGTGGGGGAGCACTTGCCCACAGGTGATCAGTACCAGGTCGTGTGCAGGCCCCTCACCCTAGCGGCTCTGGAGCAGCCTGGGGGCGCCAGGGCTCCCAGTTTCCCAGACGCACTGCTTGCTGTTGGACTTGTAGCTGTCTCGAGTCCGCTGTGCCTGCTCCTTCCACGTTCTTCCGCTTCCACAGGCTTTGACTTGGCACTGTGGCCTCGATAGCCCTGTCCTTCAAGCTCCCGGGAGAGGTGGACGAGCCATGAAGCCAGCAGGGCCCCTGTCTCATCCTGAAAGGCGCAGTCCGCGCTGTGGCCTTGTCTCCCTCCACAGTAACTGGTCCCAAAGCTTCTGAACGGCCTGAGTCTGATGGAAACCCTGAGAGTCAGCAGCCTCCCCGCACAGCTGCCTGCTTTGCTGGTTCACCTGGAGTTTCTTATAAAACAGGCTCCCTGAGAGCAAACAGGAGTCCTGGCCTCCTTGGCAGCCCAGGGAATGCCTGCCACCCTCATTTGCCAAACCTGGCTGGTTGGCATCACCCCTGAAGTTTTCTCCCTCTGCCAGTGTCTCCTAGGCTCCCCCCTGGTCCCGCCTGTGGAACTTGTAGCACTTTCCCTCACTCTGCAGCTGCGAGTGTCTGAAATCGGGGTGTTCCCTTTGATCCAGCCCAGACATCACATTGGTACCATAAGCGAAGAAGCAGGGAGGAGCCACGAACACCCACACCAGCGGCAGGGCCTCTGTTTCTGACTCTGATGTCAGGGGGGTCACTCAAGATGAGCAGCCCAAGTGATCTGAGAAAAAGCAAGAGCCTTTTCCTGAGACGGAAAAGGGTTCATGGTGCCTCCTGAGGGGCCTGGGTGTGGACCTGGAGTCGCAGGTGGGTTGTCTTGTTCTTTCATGTCTGCTGCTCAGGATATGCCAGCATTGTGAGTGCACGTCTATTCATCTCCCACAATCTGCCTCCCTGGCTGCACCGTCTCCCCTGCCCCCACGCTCTGTCACACGCCGTCAGCCCCGTGCCCCTGCTGTGCTGCGCATGTCCACCCTCGGGGGCCCTGTGGCACTTGCTTTCCCTTTCTCCCAGTCCCTGTCTCTCTTGCCTACCCTTAGTACATTCTTACCCATTTTCTGTTTCCCTCTACCAAGCAGTCTCCACCATGCCTCTCCTTCCTGGGTGGTTTGGTCTCGTTCTTTCTGAACAACGGAACACATCACTCTGAACCTAGATGGAATATGGATCCTTACCCAGTGAGATGCTTATCACCCGGGTAGGAGGGCTTCTGTGCCGCACCAGGGTGCTTTTTGTCCTTCCTGACAGATTCAGCTCTGCCCTCCTGTGTGACTGTTCCCTGTAACAACACCGGGTGTGCTGCTATGGATAAAATAGCTCCCCTCTAGCGTGGGGTGGGAGAGACAGGACCACAGTCCTCAGACTGGGGCAAGGCAAGGAGGGGGAGGTCAGGCCCCCGGGGGAAGGATCCGGATGGGCAGAGGTACGTGATGTCAGAGTAGACAAAGAAAATAACCCCAGATCAATGGACCACATAAAAATCTTTCTATCATACCTAGACAGAGGGTTTATAGGGTGAGACAGTGCAAGGTGACATGGGAACCTCAGGAGAGAAAAGGCCTCAACCCCAGGTCACCTAGGCCCCCGCTGCCCCCTGCACAGCCCTGTCTCCTCATCTTAAAGATCTGACCTGGACGCAGATCCTGGGAGCCTGTGGAAGAAACCAGGTGGGAGAAAACGGCTGCTGTTTGATGGCGGCTGCCACGTGATGGCCCCAGAGCAGAGGGTCGGAGTGGTCCTGGACCAGTAGCATCACCAGCACTTGGGAACTGTCACATATGCATGTTCTTGGGCCTCACCTCAACTCCAGTGAACAAGAAAGTCTGTTTTAATGTGCTCCCAGGTGAGTCTGATGTCCCCTCAAGTTCCAGGCCCAGTGCCACAGCCAGTGACCTCTTTGTGTATGCAGAAGTACCTTTTGCCAGATTCTTAGCATGAAAGCTTTAATTTTTTTTCATTCTAAAGAAATATGTACATTTTATTTTTGAAAGAGCTTAATGGGGCCCAACACCCAGGGATAACCATAGTGCTCCCGGAAATGCTGCAGTAACTCAAACCTTTTGTTTTTGCAGACCAAGATAATAGTCTTCCTAGATCCCCACCTTGCCGGAAATGTTCATTTGATGACTTATTACTGGAACTCAAAGGTCTGTGACCCTTGGGGAGGTTATAACTTGGGATCTGAGCGGCCCTCGGGCACGGTGAGCAGGGAGTGGGTGGAACCTGGAACACAGTGAGTCCTGCCCCTTCTTTCCTCAGACCCCAAAGCCTTAGAATCATGCAGAGAGCACAGATGCTGCCAGGGATTAAGAAAAATAAATGTTAAGTGGCAGAGTCCACAAAGATATTGGTAAGAGTAGTGATTGCACTTTAAAAAAAAACATGAAAACAAATAAACCTCTTTGACGACTTCCAGTTCATGAACTGAGGCTTGCCAATTTAAATAGCATGAGGAAAGGATTTTTCCTCTAGGATTTCAGTATAAATTTATGAGCTGGCTTTTGAAAATTACTTAGCAACATATAACGGCAGCTTTCAATTGGGCAGAAAAGTGGGCAGCGACCTCAGGTGCAGCCAAAACGGGCTGTTGCTGCGAAGATCTGTTTTCTCTGTGCAGAGTGGCATGCCTGGGGACTCTGCGTGGCATGCCCCAGTGGCCTCAGTAAACTGACTCCCTGGTTGCCATAACTGGTTACCACTTCCATGCTGAGGATCAGATTCCATTTCTTCCATCTCTGGGAAGCCACCGTCTTGGACACCAGTGAAGGAGTGTCTTCCCGGACTCAGGGGATTGCAAGTGTTGTGGGAATGCAGACTCAAAAGTTGAAAAAGATGACTTTGAAGGGAGGCTGAAGGGAATAGAAAAAGCATGAAATTGTCCCACATTATTTCTCTCTGCTTCTGGTGATTTACTTCCTATCCATTTCCTTTACTGCCTTCATAATCCAAGGACCCAAAGTACAGAAAATACCAGAAAACCTTTTTCTCCTCAGCCAAAATCTGTTGTCTAGTGCTAATGAATTACCCAGACCAATATACAGTGTAGCCCAGCTTTTCCTGCTCATGTTCCCCACAAGCCCGAGCCTTACCCTGCACTCCCTTCCTCTGCAGAAGCCAGGACCCACCCACCAGTTGCCATCTTCTCCTAAGGAGAGAACTAGGACATGTATGTATATGCCTCTGGATTAAGCTTTTCATCACTTCTACCTCCTCAACCCCCCTCCCCACGGTGGGAAATTACTGTTCTGGTTTGCCTTATGCTTTTATTTTCCAGCATTCCTTTCCCACTTCTAATGGCAGCATTGTCTTCTGTTGAAAAAGAATCCCTCTCTCTTCCACTGGCTCTGGTGGGGCCATTCATTCCAGTACTCTTATCGCACCCCTGGTGCAGGCATTGACACAAACTAGGCCTGTCAAAATTCTTAGAGGTATTACTTACAGGTGGGGTGGGAGAAGTTCTGGATTTCCTAGGACTTGCTAAAGTGGGAGGATGCAAGACTGGAGTTGTCTGTATTCATGTCCTCCCCAACGTCCCACTCCTCCAGTAAGGGGTGTTTACAGGTGTAAAAAAGTTACTTTAAAAAAAATGGATTCAGGTTGCTTTTCTTCCAAATAATTTGAAATGCGTTACATTCTCGTTACATTTCAGTGCAGCAGGAGGCACTAGACATATAAAAACCAAAAGCATTATTAACAGTTTTTAACAAAAAAATTGAGCTTCACAGCGCATGGTAAGGACTAGAACCTGTACCTCTTGCCTTACACGTTTTCGTTCATCCACGCCTTATCTGGATGAAGAATAATTTAATGCTATCTAGTCTCAGAGGTGGAGCCTGCAGCTCACTTAGCCCCTCACAGCCTATTCGTAGTAATTCTCAAAATGCTAATCTCAAAAATGTTTCACTGCGGCGATGACCCAAACAGCGAGAAGCGGGGTGAGGATGAGGAGGCGCGCTAGGGTGCCCGGAGTAACTTAGGGCACTGGGCGCTAGGCAGCTGTGCCTAGTGGAATGGGGACACATCGCAGCTCCCGCTGCAGCCAGGCGGGTGACAGGGTCTCAGACCAGAGGAGTCCCGCTCGTGGGCGCCCAGGCCTGATCCATCGGCCCTAAAAAAATCTCCCAGCCGCAAGGGATTCCCAGGCTGGCAGCCAAGAAGCCGACCACCTAATAGACGCGATCACTCGCTTCTCTGCAAATTTGCTCTGCCGCGGGCCCCGGCGCTAGCCGCCCGCCGCGCATGCTCGCAAGCCGCGCCTTGAACTACAACTCCCGTGGTGCACTAAGACTGAGCCGGTGGGGCGCCGTTCTCGTCAACAGCGTCAGGGCAGGCCGCCAGTAGACGCGAGAGGACGCCGTCCGCGCAGCCCCACCCTCTGGGGAGGAGCGGGCCCTCCCGTGGCGTATTTCCTGGGCAGCCAGTGGGCGTGTCCGCTACGCGAGGCTTCGGCCCCGCCCGCAGCCGTGGCACCCGGGTTCCGGGTGCTCTGTGGCCGCAGAGGTGAGTCCGCTGCAGGTGGGCGCGGGCCCACGCCGGCCAACGAAGTTCAGCTGCGCTGTGCAGTGCGCAGCTTCGCCCAGCGCGGGGCTGGCTGGGTGCGGAGCGGAGCCGTCGCCCTCGGAGGCCGAGCGGCTGGGCCTGAGGAGCCTCGGGGCGGGCAGCTGCCGCGCCTCCGTCCACCGTGCTCGGGAGTGAGAGGCTTCAGTGGCGTCCAGCCCCGGCGTGTGCGGGGGCCTGCCTGGGCGCACCCTGTGGCTCCCGGCGACATGCACGGGGTCGGTGTGACCAGGATGCGGGAGAGCTGGTGCGGGGTGTGTGGCAGCGTGGATTTTCCCCAGGGATTCCCGCCAGCCCCCTAAGGTCTTGTTGCGCATTTCTTCCGGGACCTTATGCGCTCGCTTACCGCTGAAGTGAAAGCAGTGTTTTCCCCAGTTTTCTTTTGGGACTTTATGTCTTGTCTTCTTTGCAAGACAGTTCAAGGAACTAGCCGGAAGACAAATATCCGTTCCCAGAGACTGTTGTCTTGAGAATTTGGGGTCAAGACTAGTGAATGTGCAGTTCTGTCCTCCCCGACATCCTCAGAGGAGCTGCGTGTCTAGCCTCTTTCTAGCATTCAGAAAGAGTGCTCCAAGGCCATGACCCCGAAGGCCTGACTGTTCCCAGGGAGAGAGAAGCCGTCTCGGGGCCGCACAATGGCGGCCAAGATGGAGATAACCCTGAGCTCACAGTCCCACACGCAGGCTTCTTCCAAGCAAGAGAGACACATAATAGCCAAGCTAGAAGAGAAACGGGGGCCCCCTCTGCAAAAAGACTGTCCTGATCCTGAGCTCTCCCGCCAGAGCTTTAGACGGTTTTGTTATCAAGAGGTGTCTGGACCCGAAGAGGCGCTCTCCCGGCTCCAGGAGCTGTGCCGGCAGTGGCTGCAGCCCGAGGTGAACACCAAGGAGCAGATTTTGGAGCTGCTGGTGCTGGAGCAGTTTCTGAACATCCTGCCCCCAGAGATACAGGCTCGGGTCAGACATCGGTGTCCCGTGAACAGCAAGGAAATTGTCACCCTGGTGGAAGATTTTCACAGAGCAGCCAAAAGACCAAAGCAGTGGGTAAGGAAGGCCCTCTCTCGAGCTGCCCAGAATTTCTTTCTCATCCGGGTAGCATTTGGTCTTTAAATCCCTCCCTGTGTAGAAGGAGTCTAGAAATGGACAGGATGGCTTCAGACATTGCTTCTGACCTCTATTTGGGAACACACCTGGGCAGAGGTAACAGCTTTTCAGAAAACCCAGCTATTAGCACTCCAGTGAGGTAGAAAATCAAGTAAGATTCTTGAAGCTTTGCCAACAGATCTTCCCCAACCTCTGCCTCTTGAACTTTTCCTATGATCCTGCTGGGTAGGCATTTGACTGGGGGGAACTTCTTTGGACCTGGTTCTACTGAGGTGGCTTGCATATTGCCTTTGCATCACAGAGTTACAGCTCATTTGGCCAGTTTTTGTTCAACCCTCACACCCCAAGCCCATCCCCAGTCCTGGCTTAGGTAGCAAGCAGCCAACCATATGCTTTGGGGATGGAAGCGCTAGGAAACAGGGTTGGGGCAGTCCTCTTGCAGCCTTGCTGCTACAGGGATCTCCTTACCAGAGAGCCTTGGGCAGAGAAGTTTATAAGGGTGGTTTTTAATGGCTCCACCATACTCCTTCCTAAGTCCTTGGCCTGTTTCCAGCTGAAGTAGGGAGGCAGGTGGGCATAGGGTGGGAATCTGCTGGGCCAGTCTCATGACTGACTGATACTTAAGCCTGCTGTCTGCTGACTTTGACCCCAGGCCTTGAGAAAGACCCAAGCTAAAGTTAGGGGCATCTGCTCAGGAGGTTTTGGCTGATTTGAAGCAGCTTCTTTCTGGTCATTCTGCATGTCCTTCCCTTTGCTTCCTTTGAGAGTTTCAGAATCTCTATCAAAGTTGACCTCCAGGCCATTATCAGGAATTCCCAGGGTAAAGTGTCACCACCGAGCTAGGAGAAGTCAAGCTGCCTCCAGTCAGTCCTTGCGCTGCACTCTAATGTATGGGGCTTGTTCCCAGGTGGCCGTTTGTATGCAGGGGCAGAAGGTGCTCTTGGAGAAAACTGGATCTCAGCTTGGAGAACAGGAACTGCCACATTTTCAACTGCAAACTCCTAGGAGATACCCTAGGGAGAGCTCTCAGGAGGAGATTTCCCAGGCAGGATCCCAAGACCAGCTGAGCCCCCACCATTGGGAAAAATCCCCACTTTTCCAGGAACCAACCCCCAAATTGGCTGGAACAGGTAAGTACTCTGTGCCTCCTCAATCCCTCTTATCAGTTCTTTACCTGCATCAGAAGCATCCTATGGTTCTGAAAAGCTGTAGACCAGATGTTGGGTTTTCCTAATGTTGTATGCAGTAGTAGATCTTTATTCCCTCAAGAAAATTTTAATTAGAATGATAGTGATACTATACATAAGAAGCATTTTTTAAATCATTTTCTGTTATAACCATTTGATGGTCCAGTGCACAGCAGGAGTATTTAGTGCCTGAGTTTCTGTCCCTTTCACGCTGCTTCCTCTGTCTTTTGTAAAGACAGATCCAGGTATGACCACTGATGAATTTCCATGCGAGCTGTGGCTGAGTTTCATCACTTAAAATGGTCCCATGTTTATTTAGAAGGGGCCCAAAGAATGTTATGCTCACTAGAGAAAAAGCCCCACTCTGTATTATTTTCTGCCCTTTCCTCCTCCAGTGACATTGAGCTTTAATCCCTTGTGTCCATTTCCCTGTCTATCACTGGTCCAATGCTAGTATAATTGCTGGTCCTGCTCCATGCAGTCCTGTGATCCCTAAGACTGAATGACAGTGACACCTTGGCCCTTCTTGGTCATTTGAATACAGTTTACAGTCAGCAAGTTGGAGAACAGGGTTACAAGTAGAGCCTTGATTCAAGATTTGCTACATTAAATGAAACACTTTGATTATCCTTGGAACTCAGGAATAGAAAAGATGTGGGGAATCCATTAGAAAAGCAGTGTGACCCTGGCTGAGTTCCTGCCCCATAATCTATGGCCTTCATGGTCCTGAAGAAAGTAGACCACACATACTCTCTTCTCCTGCCCCTGCAGAGGCAGCTGGGTGTGTGTGCAGTCTCCATCTCCCTTAGTTTGGTCCCCAAGAGGATACGTGTCCCTCATCCCTAAGAGCCAATAGTGTCTTTCTTCAGAACTACACTATCCAGTACAGTTGCCACTAGCTACATGTGGCTATTTAAATTTTATTCATTAAGATATAATTCATATACTATAAAATTCACACTTTTCAAGTGTTACAGTTCAGTGGTTTTTAGTGTATTCACTCACGTACGCAACCATGACCTGTCTTGATTCCTGAATCTTTTTATGACCTTATCCATTAGCAGTCACTCTCTATCCCCCCATCTCTAGTCCTAGCAATTGCTATCTACTTTCTGTCTCTGGATTTGCCTGTTCTGGACATTTCACTGTCATACATTTATACTTAATCATACAATATGTGCTTTTTAGTGATTGCCTTCTGTCACTTAGCATAATATTTTCAAGTGGCATCTATGTTGTCGTACATCACTCTTTTTTGTATCTGAATTATATTACATTATGTGGACATTTTGTTTATTCCTCAGTTGATGGACATTTGGGTTGTTTCTACTTTTTTGCTATTATGAATAACGCTGCTGTGAACATTTGTGTATAAGTTGTGTAGACATATGTTTTCATTTTTCTTGGGTATATAGCTAGGAGTGGAATTGCTGGGTCATATGGTAACTCTGTTTAACCTTTTGAGGAGCTGCCAGACTGTTTTCCAAAGCAGCAGCATCATTTCACATTCCCATTAACAATCTTTGAGGATTCCAATTTCTCCACATCCCTGCCAACATTTATTATTGTCAGTCTTTCTGATTACAGCCATCCTGTTTGGTATGAAGTGGAATCGCATGGAGGTTTTGATTTTTTTCCATTGTGACTGATTATGTTGAGCATCTTTTCATGGGCTTAATGGCCAATTGGTTTGTCTTCTTTGGAGAAATGTGTATTCATCCTTTGCACATTTTTAATTTCGGTTAGTCTTTTTATTGTTGTACGACTTTATATATTCTGGATACTAGATCCTTATATATATTTTGCAAGTATTTTCTCCTGTTTTCTTTGGAGCACAAACATTTTTAATTTTGATGAAGTCGAGTTTATCTATTTTGTTTCCATTTTTGGTGACGTACCCAAAATACCCTTTCCTAACATGAAATCACAAATATTTACACCTATGTTTTGTTCAAAGAGAGATTGGTTTAGCTCTTAAATTTAGGTCTCCGATGAGTTAATTTTTGCATACAGTGTTCATCCTCATTCTCTTGAACGTGGAAATCCAGTTGTCTCAGGATCATTTAGACTGTTCTTCCTCCATTGAATTGGCTTGACAACCTTGTTGAAAAGCAGTTGACCTAATTGTATGGGATGCTTTTTGAAATCTGAATTTAAGTAATTATTATTAGATATTTAAAACTCAGTTTCTTAATCACACTGGCTGCATGAGGCTAATGGCTGCCGTATTGAATAGTGCATGCGTCCGCACATACATACTCCCCACATGGCGGGAGTCCTGTTGGGTAGCACAGCCCTAGATCCTCCAACTTGCCAGCAGGCCATTTCAGCTCATTTCCATCCTGGTCCTCAGTCTTGGTGGTCACAAGTTGCAAGTTTCTGTAATTAGGATACATATGTAATCCCTATTGCAGTCTCCAAACACAAAGGCTGTCAATTCTGGAATGAAAGAAAATTCCAGTTCTCTGGATTTGCCATTATTTGAAGAGATGCGGTGATTATTCAGGGTCCATGTGAGAGTGTGTTTGCATTGTTGAAATTTCCACTGGCTGCCTCCTTTTCACTCCTTACTTGATACTCAGGTCTGAGGGGTTTGCTTTGCCCTGTTTCTCATTTCCCAAACCTTTCCCTAAAAGTAGGAAGCAGGGGAGGTTGTTGGAAAATTTGCTTCCTGATTTTACTGCAAGTCAGAATCACCCCTGAGCCTGTCAGCCATGCGGATTTCCAGGTCCTGCTCTTCAGAGGCTCTGCCATGGGGATGTGGGGGCAGCCTGCCTGTTTAGCAAGAGCCCCAGACGAGTCTAAAGCAAGTTGCCAGTGGAGGATCACACTTTGCGAAACCTGCAGCATAGTTCGTAACTCTTTGCTGAGGTTCTAGAAAGAAACAAAACCTCTTCTTTCTAATTATAGAGGCCCCCCGAATGAAAAGTGACAACAAGGAAAATCCACAGCAGGAGGGGGTTAAAGGAGCGAAGCCATGTGCAGTGTCAGCTGGTAGATCCAAAGGGAACGGTCTGCAGAGTCCTGAGCCGAGAGGGGCAAATATGACTGAACCCCGGTTGTCAGGAAGGCAGGTGAGCCCCTCAAATGCTCAAAAGCCATTCACCCACTACCAGAGACATTGCAGGGAACTAGAATACAGCAGCAGCTCCCTAAAAAACCACCCACTGAGAGGGCTGAAGAAAAGCAGAGCAAGTAGAAGAAGCCTGAGCAGCCGTCTGCAGCGCCTTGCTCACCAGCCAGCCCGCTCAGCGCGGAAGCCATACAAATGCGACGACTGTGGGAAAAGCTTCACGTGGAATTCAGAGCTGAAAAGACACAAGCGCGTTCACACAGGGGAGAGACCCTACACATGCGGAGAGTGTGGGAACTGCTTTGGGCGGCAGTCGACCCTGAAACTGCACCAGAGGATCCACACCGGGGAGAAGCCGTATCAGTGCGGCCAGTGTGGGAAAAGCTTTCGCCAGAGCTCCAACCTTCACCAGCATCAGCGACTCCACCACGGGGACTGAAGACAGGGCTCCGTCCTTCTGCCCAGAGGGAAGGTGTTTGTGTTTGTCCTACCCCCACCTGCATGTGAATCTCAAAGACTGTCCGCGTGACTTACAAGGAAAGCCGGAGGTCCCTGAGGAATGTGGCTGGTGAGGGGTCCCAGAAGCTGGGGTCCCAGAAGCTGAGGTCCCAGAAGCCGCAGTGCCCTCCCAAGGGCAGGGGAAAAGCAGCCCCGAGAAGTGGATAGCATGTGGGCTGCCGAGGTCGGAGGGGCCCTGCTACTCTCCTTTCTCACTCAGGCCAGTAGCTTTAGGAACAATAAAATGACTGGGGAAATGAAAATGTTCCACAATTAGACTATTTCAGTACATTTACTAAAAGTTATAAAGGATTTGATTTTGTGATAAGTAAATTATACCTCAATGAAGTTTCTAGAAATGACAAAATATGTAAAATATTAAAGCCCTGGAACTAGTCCTGAGAAGGCATCTCATCCCTCCCCTTCATTCTCTCAAAGTGGAAGTTAAAACCCAATCAGTATGCAATTCTTACTCACCCGGGTAAAGCTAGCTGACCCCGCAGTTCAGAAAAGACGTGTGGCAGATGGGTGTGCTGCATCCAGCAGAAAACATCTGGGTGGCATTCCTCCTGAAGTGCCGCTGCCAGTTGCCGGGGCTGTGGCCTGTGCTCTTCGCGCCCAGAATCTCACCTTCCCCCTGACCGCAGAGGGACAGGTGCATGCATGTGCACCCTCACTCTCCCAGCTGTGCACACACCATGCCCTTTGCCCCTGGGACCCACCACCCCACCTGTCCTCCGCCCCCTCCCATCACCGGAGTTGCCTATCCTCAGAGCCTCGCTGACCAGGCCGACTTAGACTCAATCATGTGTCTCCCTGTTCTCTCTGCCTACCAGGGGTGCTCAATGTGGGAGCAGATCTGCCCCCCAGAGGACATTGGGTGTCTGAAAACAGTGTTGGTTGTTACGACTTGCAGGAGGGTGGGTGCTCCCGGCCTCTAGTGGCTAGAGACCAGGGATGCAGCTAAAAGCCTTAGGGTGCACAGGACGGTCCCCACGACAGTTACCTGGTCCCAAATGTCAGGAGTGCCAGGGTTGGGGAACTATGTACATAACAAAAAGTCTTTAAGGGCAAGAACCTTGTGTTTTCCATCGTTGTAGCTTTTGGACGTAGCTCACACCCAGTCCAGAGGAAGAGGCGCTCAGTGATCGATGAACTGAAGTGCCCTGCTTCACCCTCAGGACCCATTTTTGCCTGAATCAGATCTGGTGACAGCTGTTGGGTGCAGTGGACAAAGCCTCTTGTCTTGTGGCCAGAGAGAGACTTATTGGGTGCCCAGTGGCCATTTCATAGCTTTTGGTGGTACTTTAAGACTAATTCGTGGTCCCCTCCCCAACAGCCATGTTAGGTGTGGAGTTCAACTCCGTTGTTAGGTCTTCCTTCCCTCCCTCCTGTCTGCTGCTTCTCACCAGTCAGGGCCTCTCCATCCCTCAAGTGTCCCCCCTTCCCTCCAGGACCCATTTCCAGGCCAGTGTCATGGATGTGACTTACCTGACCTGAGTTTCGTACCCATGCTCTAACAGAGGACCACTAGCTTAAGACAACACAAACATTTCTTAAGTTCGAACGTTTCTGATGTTCCAGACATGAGAAGTCCAAAATCAATCTCACTGAGCCAAGTCAAGGTGTCCGCAGGGCCGATTCCTTCTGGAAGCGCGGAGGGATGCATCTGTTTCCGTCCTTCCTTGGTTTCCAGTGGCAGCTTGTACTCCTTGGCTTGTGGCCTCTTCCTCCACCACCAAAGTGGGTCCCTCCAATCTCTGTCCCCATATGACCTCCTCCTCTTCCTCCGACCCTCTGACCTCCATAAAAAGACCATTATGATTACACTAGCCCCCCCACCACTGATAATCCAAAATAATCTCCCTGTCTCAAGATCTTTAATCACATCTGAAGAATCACCTTTGCCGTAAAGGTAATGTTTGCAGGTTGCAGAGATTAGGGTGTGGACATCTTGGGGGGACGCGGACCAACCACGCTTGCGTACAGAATCAACTTGGTCAAAGGTCTCTCCTAAGATGAAGGCTCACGGATCGCCAGTCCCCTCGGAAGTGCTGGGGCAGAAACTCTACTCATACAGGAGCTTTGTCTGCTTGGCATGTTTTAAGAATCCACGTGTGTCTTCTGTCTTCTGATTCAGAGTCAATAATTGCTGAAGTAGTTATTGAATGTTAATATCTTTGGGTACCTGTTCAACTGCGGACCTTGAATAAATGTGATAAAATTGCCACTCTGGCTGTTGTCACTCCCAGAAGGTCCTCAAGCCTGTGATGCTGCCTTGCCTCCCCCGACCCAGTTTTCCTGTGGCCACTGAGCCTCCACTCCAGGCAAGGAGCACCGTGAGGGTCTGAAGGCCTGAGGAAGGCCCCTGGGCCTCAGTTCTTCCGTGTAGAGCCGCTCCAGCCCCTCCTGTGCGAGCTCCCACCCGAGGGCGTTGGCCTGACCTGCTGGCTTGCAGGCAGCTACCCGTGAGAAAATCCTCCTCGCCTCTGTGCACACACTTACCTGTGGAGCAGCCTGTCCAGAAGGTTCTTGCCTTTTCTGGGTTTGCCCGTATTCTGGGCCTTGCAGAGTTCTCTGAAAAGCATTTTCCATCTGCAGCAGGTCAGGATTTGTCAAACCTGCCCAAATACCACTACCACTCCCAACAAAATTCACTAACTCCTAAACACCGTCCAGCAGACAATGTTAACGTTTTTCCCAAGTGTTTCTAAAACAAAAATGATGTGTTTTACAAATTTGAGATACCATGTCATCCATTTAAAACGTGACCCATTTAAAGTGTACAGTTCAGCAATTATATTTAAGAGTCATTCCACCATCACCACAGTCTAACGTGAGAACGTTTTCAACAGCCTAAAAGGGAACCTCACCATCATCAGTGGTCACTCCCCGTCCTGCCCTCCCTCAGGCACCCCTTCACCCAGCACAGCGTCTTCCGGGTCCACCCGTGCTGCGGCAGACATCAGGACTCTGCACTTTGTACGGGCAAATGGTATTCCACTGTGTGGGTAGACCAGCCACGTTTTGTTTATCCATTCATTTCTCGATGGGCATTTGGGTTGTTCCCACTCCTTTGCTCCTATGAATACTGCTGTGTGAACATGCGTGTACAAATATCTGTGTGGACATAAGTTTTCAGTTCTTTTGGGTGTACACCTAGGAGTAGGATTCCCGGGTCCTGCGGTAACTCTCTGTTTAACCATTTGAGGAGCTGCCAGACTTTTCCACAGGGCGTGCGCCATTTTACAGGCCCACCAGCAGCGTGCGAGGGCTCGTTTTTCCACATCCTTGTCGACACTTGTTTTCAATCCGGCTTTTTGATTGTAGTCACGCTGGTGGGGATGAAGGGGCGTCTCACTACAGTTTTGATTTGCATTTGTCTGATGGCTAATGATGTCGGGCATCCTTTCATAAGTTCACTCGACATTTGTGTACCTTTAAATGGCTATTAAAAATCTCTGCCCTTTTAAAATTGGGTTGTCTTTTTGTTGCTGAGTTGTAAGAGTCTTATATATATATATTCTGGAGCCAAGTTCTTATCAGATACATGACTTGCAGACATTTTCTTCCATTCTGTTGTAATACACTTTTGCACACTTGCACATCTCTTTGAAGTAGCTGTTACCCGCCAAATACAAAAAGGACCAATATTGTCACAATTCCTGGATTGCCAGCAAAACAGGAGGGTGAGGCAAACTTGCCCACATGTCATTCCTGGCTCTGGAAACTCGTCTGGGACCAGGTTCAAGGCGGAGCCGGCTAGAGGGACTCCAGGAACCTACTCTGGTCCTGGGGGTGACCCGGGCTTGGTTGGATCTGAGGCAGCTCCGTGAACAAACCAGAGGGGTGGACTTCATACCTGGCTAAGACTGGGGTGCCTTGTGTCCGGCCCTGTTGACATTCATGACCTGGATGTGTTATTTAAATTCTCCAAGCCTGTTCCCTCCTCCGGAAACGGGAAGACCTGCCTTGCTTACCTCATGTGATTGGTGAAGTAAACACGTGTGCGCGAGAGCATTTTATTTTGCCTTCTGGAAAGTGTCGAATAAAAGGAAGACAGATTGTGTGTCCAGTAAAACCAAGCATCCTGAATCTTCAGTGAGCTCTTCAGATCCTGGGATGAGCAAAGGAGCAAAGGTCCTGTTTCCCTGGCTTTGGCACTTCCCAACACTGTGGGCACAGTACCTGAAAAGAGAAGAATTTCTTCAAAGCCCTGTTAATGAGTGGCATTGGTGTGCAAGAGAGAGGTGCCCCCTTTTTTCCATGGCCCTTTGTGCTGCCTTTTGTTTTACATTGGCTTTTTACAATTTATGTTTTATTGTGGTAAATATGCATAACATAAAATTTACCATTTCTGCCATGTTTAAGTATACAATTCAGTGGCATTAAGCACATTCACACTTTCATGCAGCCATGGCCACCATCCCCTCCAGGACACTTTGTCTTCCCAAAATGAAACCTTGTCTGCATTAAACGTTGACCCTGCTCCCCCTCCTCTAGCCCTGGCCCCCACACCCTGTGAGCTCACAGCGGTGGAATCACACAGCGTCTGTCTCTCTGACTAGCTTGCTTCATGCAGCGTAGCGTCCTCAGGGGCCATCAGTGCTGCAGTGCAGGCCAGAAGTCCCTTCCTTTTTAAGGCTGAATAACATTCTGTTGTACAGATGGAATCTTTGATTTATCCATTCATCCATCAGTGGACACTGGGATTGGTTCTATGTTTTGGCTATTGTGAATATGTGTTCCTTCCTTTTTGCAAATACATAATTTTCAAAAACCCAAAGAAAAATTTGCCACAGGGCCCAAGTCTTGTGACTGGTGTGCTCCAGCGCTTCTGGGGTTCCTGCAGGCAGAGGTCTGGGGGAGGGCTTGCCCGCAAAGATGGATAGAGCCGGGGACTGGAGACAGGAAGGAGACCAGGGTGGCAGCGGAGGGTGTCCCTGACAGGAGCAGCCTCAGGAGGGTGGGATGTCCAAAGGTGAGTGTGGAAGTTCAGGCCTCCTGAGGCCCCACTGGGACCCGGACGGAGGGTGTCCCTGACAGGAGCAGCCTCAGGAGGGTGGGATGTCCAAAGGTGAGTGTGGAAGTTCAGGCCTCCTGAGGCCCCACTGGGACCCGGTGTGTCTGGGTGAGAGGGGGGCCCTGCTGGGAGGGGACAGGAGCAGCTGCTTTCATCCGGAGGGAGGCCCAGGGGACGGGTTCTGAAAGGACAGTCTGAGGAAATGGCAGACTCAGGACGTGACACTGCACAGGAGTATGTAGTTCACGTGGAGCGTGGAGTTCAGGCTGAAGACAGTGTCGTGAGGAGGAGTTGTAAGGCTCGTTTTACCTTTTGGAAAACTTTAAGGATGGAGCATCTGCAGACAGCTCAGTGTAGCCAAGTGTTTCAGTCTGTCCGAGCCACTGTTAACAAAATATCAGACTCGGGCTTATAAACAATAGACGTGTATTTCTAACAGTTCCAGAGGCTGGAAGTCTGAGATCAGGTGCCAGCGTGGTCAGGTCGTGTTTTGCTGAGGTCTCTCTTCCTGGCTCAGCCACCCATCTTCTCACTGTGTCCTCCCGTGATGGAGGGGACGAGGGAGCTCTCTGGGGTCTCTTATATAAGGGCATTCATCCCACTCATGAGGCTCCACACGAATCCTCATGACCTAAGTACCTCCCAACGGCCCCAGCTCCTAATACTATCATTTTGGGGCAGGTTATTTCAATCTGTGGATTTGTGGGAGGACACAAGACATGCAGACCATAGCACCGTGTGTGCGTGCACTTCCTTGGTACAGATTCAGATCCATCCTGCCCCGAGCTCCCCTTTTCAATCTGTTTGTTAGGGGAGCATTGTGTATTTTTCTCAGTTCTTGTCCCTGTGACAACAGTGGTGCCAGCATGGTCAGGTATGGTCACCCTTCAGTTAGGGGCAGAGACGCAGCAGTGAAGCAGAATGAAAGTTTTATTTATAGTTACTTATAGAGAGAGAAAATGCGGGTGACATCAGGGAGGAGAGGCACCCTGAACGGTTGAAGAGAGAGAGAGTCTAAGGCTATGCACTTAAAAGTGCGGGTGACCCCAGAGGGGAGCGCTGAAAGGTTGAGATAAAGTTTTATAAAAGTTGTGCACTTAGAAAGTGCAGGCAACCTCGGAGAGAGGATTTTTAGAAAGCGACAAAAGGCCAGGTGCATGCAGACCTGCCAAATGGTCCCAGATTTTCATCTTTGATAAGACATTAAGTTTCTTCTTTTAACTTAACACAAGAAATTTACTGCTTTGATTCCTTTCCAAGATAGCAGTTTCTGTCTGGAAGCATATCAATCAAGACTGTCTGCCCTGCCTCCAAGGTGGGCTGAGCCACTGCCCATTTGATTAAAATGCTATCTTACCTTTAAGATAGAATTCTTCCCGAATGAGCTGGGCCTTTGAGCAGGTTAAGGTAAATCTTACAATTGTATGTGCTAATCGACACAAGGAAAGCATAGGCTATGCTGAGATACTTTTCTTTATCTGGAGAGTATTCAAACTTCTAGGCTTTCTGTGTTTTAACTGCTTAACTCTTTGAGTCCCTTCTAGTGGCCTTTATTGGCCTTATTCTCTATCCACCCCATTCATACTTATTTTCCTGCCTAACATGTTTACTCAACTTTGTAAGGTTTAAATAAGTGGATCAAGCCTCCAGTGTGGTGAGTGCCCAAGCCCCCTAAGACAAAGGCCCCACGGGGCCTAATGCCTCAGCCTTTGAGGGGCCAGGCCCCCTTGCAGGAGGCCCTCAGGTCTGACCAAGCCACCACCGGAAGTGTGGCCAGCGGCAAAGGTGGGTGGCACCTGCGAAACTGGGAGGGTGATCAAGTCCGCCTCTGACTGTCCCACACTCCTCTGACGAACCTTTCCAAAATCACATTCTAGTGCTGGGACCTAAACTGAAATTATCTGCTTTTTGCATAGATCCGTCTGATAGACCCTGATAGACTGCGATTCACGCTCTTGTTAGAAATTTTCATAGATGGGGAACTTGCCACTTTACAAGGTGCAGCATTTCATTCTGGTGTCGTCCTACGTGTTTTATGTCCCAAGATGCTGGACTTTGAGCCATGCAGGCGTTTGCCCTTGGCGTCCTGGCTGCTTTCATGACTCCTTTAGAGAGGGGAGCAGAGGGACCATGTTGCAGCCTCCAGAACGCCCCACCCAGAGGCTTTGTAAAACACCTGACATGAATGCAGGGAAGGAGGCCTTCAGGGAGGTGTGTTTTCTGGGCAAGAAGGTGAAGTACAGCATGTATGCTACCCGGCAGGATGACTATCTAGGAGAGAGGCTCTGGGCTCTGAGCCAGGATTTGGGGGAATCGGAGGTCACAGATCACACCAGAGGTCAAACATGTGCCCTCAGGAAGGAGAAATGAGAGCTCTGGAAAAGTCTGCTCCTAGGCAGTAAGGGACCTCCTGAAGCCAGCACAGTGGGTGGGGGGGGGTCCCAGCTCCATCACCCTGGGTGGGCAGAGGAGCTGAGTGGGACGTGCACCTCCCTGTGGCAGACTTGCAGCTTCTCCCCTTTTGTCTAGATCCCCCACCCCTCCCCATGGCTCATAGCTGTGCCCCAAGCCTGGGAGAAAACTCTCTACTCAGCAGTTTGAAACTGTGTGGCACCTTTTTGCTCTTGGCAAAGGGTGAGTTCTCTGGAAGGAAATAGTGCCTAAACCAGGGCACATGTCTTTTAAATTTTTATTTATCCTTTCTGGAACTGATTCTTATATTAAGATCCAGTTTATTTGAACTTTATTTTCATTGTACACTGTTAGCACAGATAAGTAATTGCAAATGCTAACAGTTTTAACAGCTCATCATAGGAGATATTCTTTGCACGGAGAAGGCAAAAGCAGCTTTACTATCAGGTGTGCACAAAAATTAGTCAATTTGGTAGCATAAGTTCTTTTCACGTCTCTGATGTTATTTTGTATATTACACTTAAATATGAATTTAATTGCTGTTTAAAATACTTCAACTTCATTTTGCTTCCAAGGTTATTTTTTAAATTGAGATATAATTCATATGCTATAAAACTCACTCTTTTGAAGTGTGTACAGTTCAGTGGGTTTTAGTACATTCACAAAGTTGTGCAGCCAGACACGTCTTTTTGAGAAAGAAATTACTTCTTCATGAGGAGTTAGCTGAGCACATAGCTAGCACGCTGCTATGGAACGTGACCAGGAGACAGCTTGGGACAGTGGAAAAGGCACTGGGCAAGGAGCCTGAAGACCCAGGTTCCATTTCCAGTGCTGCAACTAGCCAGTTACTGAGCTCTAAGATGCCTCCACCTCGATTTCCCTATCGGGTAAAATGAGGTAAGATAAAATGATGAGTAGATAACCGGTAACTGGAGACACGGGTAAAATACTGTCTAGTTTTCGATTCTACTCTGAGCTGTCCACCGAGGCCCAGAAAGTTTGGTTCTGGCTTTGGCCAAAATAAAGGTGACTGTCGGAGCTCAGTGCTGTGGCTTTTCCCCTGACGGAGACAGGAGCCCCAGGTAAGAGGAAGCAGAGGGTAACGTGCTCAGGGTTCCTCCCCTCCCCACCAACCGCAGGCCTACTTTTTCCCAGGCGAGGAGCTTATCACTCATCTCCTGCTCACTCTCTCCGTCTTCTCTGACCCTTCTCACCAGCATCCTGGCTTACTGGGCTCTCTGCACATCTTCCATCAGGGTTACTCTTGTGTTTATCTCAGCTGAGCCCAGGACAGCTCCAGTAGTCCCAGGATCTGCTCCTTGGCAGGCATCTTGGCATTCCCCACTGGTGCCAGGAGCCCCCCTGGCACAGCTCCGTGGGGCGGAGGGTCTGACACAGTGGCAGCAGTGTTCCAGGACAAGGATCGTGGGTTTGTAGGCTGGACCTCTCCCACGAGGTGGCATCTGTTATCAGGCAGCTTTCCAATTCTGGGGACTGGGGAGGCCCAGGGCACCCAAGTTTGCAGTCATCTTACGGCTCAGAGGACAACCTCATACAGCTGGGACTAGACCTGGGAACATCACACCCTGTCTCTGTAGGGTGTGGCAGGCATCTGAGTTCTCCAATTTGTCTTTTCCCCTGGATACAGTTGACAGGGAAAAGCTGACTATACATGGGGTCAGCGGACACATTAGCTAAGGCCCTTGCAAAGTTCTCCATCAGAGACGTCAGCCCACTACCTGGTGCCCTTTCCAGAGGTCTCAAGTCCTTGTTTAGCTCTCCGCTCTCCTCAGAAGTAAACAGGCTCCCTAACCTTCCTTGCCAGGTGAAATCATAGCATAACGCATCCCATCCCTGCAGCACTTAGAGCCGCGGTGTCACACTCACTTGTGACTAATACCTCTTCCTGGAAAGTTCAGAAAAACTGTAAACTCATGAGGAGGCAAGAGATACCTCCCACAAGTCTACCAGCCATCAGGTCACCCAACCCAGAAATTTCCAAGCCATCTTTGACTCGCTTCTCTCTCACCCAACCAGATTGTTACCTCTGCGCCCTAAATCTGTGCGGAGGCCACCCCTGTCCTCATTCCCACGACCCCTACTACAGGCTCTTTCTGTCCCAACAGCCTCCTGTCTGCTGTCTCAGGCTTGTTCCCAAATGCTGCAGTGGCTGCAGTTAGCCCCACAAGGCAGGTGACGTCGAAATTCTGGCCCCGTCTTCCTAGCCCGGGGCCGCACCCAGGCGCCCCCGACCCGCCGAGGAGCTGGGCTCGGCACTCGCTCGGGGGATGGAAGTGGTGCCCCGGGGCCCCCCGCGCTCGTTTCTCTGGGATTCCCCAGGGTGGTCTTGACAACACCCGACGAGGTCAGGCCCCTCCGGCATCGCCAGCCCGGTGCAGAACCGCCGAGGTGGAGCCTCGAGATGGGAAGGTACAGCGGGTTCAGAGGCCGAGGGCGGGGGGCGGGGCCTCTGCCGGAAGTACCGTCCAATCCCCTCTGATTGGGCCGGGTGGCGCCCCGCCCCGGAATCCTCGTCACCCCCTTGTCCGTCAGCAGCTGACCGCGTGAAGAGCGCGTGGGCCCGCGGAGCGCTCTGAATAACACCGCATGCAGAAAGTCTATCCTAGAGTGTCATTCATTAAGCTCGTTTATTCTTGTGACAAGTATTCACTGATATCGCAGGGGGTTGCATCGTGACTATGGTGAACCCAGATGATGTGCATGCTGTCTTAGAAAGCCTAGTCTAGAGGAGGAAACAGACATGACAATTACACAAATGTAAAACTGCAACCATAACTACTAAGGAAAAAACATAAACAGGAATCACAAGATGGGAAGTTACTAGGGAAGGTTCTACTTGAGATAGGAAGGTCAGGGCCCCCCAGCTTTCTCCTGCCAGGCCAGTCACTCTACAGCAAGAAATGATTCCTTATAGATATGCCCATCTCTCCTGACCCTTACACACTTTGAGGTAGCGTTCACAGTTATTCCTCCGGCATTTGCGGAGACTGAGACCCAGTCATTTTCTGGAGTTTGCCTAGCTTAGAGAAAGCTGAGCAATATTGAGCAGCACATCTTCTACCATGCACTTTAGACTTCCATTCCGTCTCCTTCTATGTCTCATAATCCTACATTCAAGCCATTTTCTGCATGTGTAAAATGCGGTAATGGTGAACTAATCCAGGAAAGTGCCTAGCATGGGAGCGCCAGGAATGTGACATGTTGAGTAGTGTTATCCATTTTCATCACTTATTACCTGATTCTCTGACTTACCTGCTAACTTTTGACCCCAGCACCCATCCTATCTTCTTACAGTACCCTAAGTATCCCTCAGAGAGTCACTGCTTCTCCACTTCATCCATGTGATTTTGGTGGGGCTGAACCCTACCACTGCTCCAGGAGAACACATGAGAACAGCTCTGGCCAGCCTACTCCATCCTCCTGGCCATAGTGGTTGGGTCAGGGACAGGCTCATGGCCCCAATCAGTCAGGTGAAGTTAACCAGGAATATGGACCTGCTGGCCAAGTCCCTTTTGATCCATGATCTTCATGGTGTCATCAGTTCCCGTTCTTGGAACTTCCTGGGCTGCCTAGCCTTCAAGTGTGGCACCATTCAGCCCCTCCTGAGTGCTTGCCCTTCCCCCATTGAGGGGACCTTCTAGGAGGGAACAGAATAGGCAACGATGTTATTGGGCCAGGTATCCCCTAGCCCAGCAATGTGAGCTACTTTAATCACTGAAACTTACTCCCAGAAAGGTCAAGGCAGTAACATGTGGACTCAAATTGTTACATTTACTTCTCTGTTGTATTAACTCAGCACAATTCTATTTGAAATACAAATATCACATTTACCTCACTTCTTTCAAACATGGCTTGTGGCAAGTGTGCATCTTCATTAAAGTATTCCTTTAAAGCCTATAGGGTATCATAACATTTTTATCCAGAGAACTGTCTTAGGCTTTTTGATAATTCCTTACAGCTTCTCTTAGCCACTGTTACACCTCCTGCCTACTTGCAACAATAGTACCAGGGCCTATTCCCTTTCTTCCAGTCAGTCTTCTACCCAAAATTAGGTATTTTCTGTGTTAGATGGGAGGAGATGGGAATAGACTCTCTCTGTTGCAACGAAGCTCTAAACCAAACTACTTTTGAGTACAACTCCTTTTAATTGTACTAATTTCCACAATTTGATTATAAAATGTAAACTGTTGACATCTGACTTCTTTTGGAATAATGCTCTATTTAATGATCGACCTTCCAGCAATCACATTAAGAACTTAGTTGATACATATTTTCATTACTGCAACAAAAATTATCCAACAGTATAAAAGTGACAGAACCACAGAAATTTCATTCATTGCATAATTTTAAGCACTTACCATGTGCCTGACCCTTGCCCCTACAGAGACATTAAACCTCTAGTTACATCATTACTATTCAATTACAAGCATGCAAATGCTTTGAGGAGGATAAAATAAAGGAGGTAAGGATGGGGACGATGTTCCAGGTAAAAGGAAGTGAAGAGCTTGTTCTATTTGATGAACTGAAATAAAGTCAATGCAGTTAGAGACAGAAGAAAGAAAAGAGCAGCTGGAATTGAGAGCTGGCAGGGAAGTAACAATAAGGTCACGTTGAAAATTTTGGACATTATCCTAAGGACAATGGGAAGCCAGTGGAAGATGTCAAAGTTGGATGGTGAAATAATCAGATGTGCTGGCAGAAGAAAAGAGTGATGTGAGAGGTTTGGGGGCTGCGTCAGTCAATCCAGGCAAGTACTGTTGGATCTGAGTGGAGGGAAAGCAGTCAGGTTTGAGAGGTATTTTGTGGGTAAAATCATCAACACGACTTGAGTGTGTGTTCAGCCGGAAGGAGAGTGTGTGCGTAACATGAAGAATTGTGTGGATGTGGCGCCACATACTGGAGGCAAAATTAGGGGCTAAAAGCACGAGTTTGGTTTTGGTCATGTTTTTGGTGCCTCAGACATCCAAAGACCTCCTGAATACAGAGATGTAGAGTGCAGGGAAAAGGCACCTGAGCTAGAAAGTGAGGACTCTGTATTCATGGAAGTAGCTAAGCGCGGCTGCGGACCGTGTACTCAGGTGGGCTCAGGATATACTCTAAGGAACCAGAAGCCTGTTAAGAGTTCGGCTTCGGCGCAAGCAGAAATCCGACGAGGAGACTGTGCCGGGTCTACAGAGAAGACACATTACCCAGGGCAAGTGGGACGCATAAAGTATCCCTTTCAGCAAGCCAGAGACACACAGGCAGGACGGGCCCGTAGCTCCGCATCGCTAACACGGGGTTAGGGCCGGCGAGGTAGCGCTGTGCCTACAGTCCAGGGCCGAGATTCTGGATGCCCGCGACGGCCACCGGCGTTACCCTCCCGCCGGTGCGGAGGAGGCCTGAGGAGGGGCTTGGAAAACACTCTCGCTCCCTCCCCCTCCCCCTCCTCCTCCCCCGGTTTCGACGGCGCCGCCCGTGGGTGGGTGGCGGAGGCGGTGGCCCATCCACTGCCGCGGAGCTGCGTAGGAGTGCGGAAAAGCACCCCCAGAAGTGAGCGCGCGACTTCCGGTTCCCAGCCCGCGGGCCGTTCTAGCGCGTCTCACCTCGTTGGCTTTCCCGGCGGCCTGAGCGCTCGCGAAGAGCGTGGGCGGCCCGGGCTCTCGGAGGCCGTGCAAAGGCTTGTGGGATCCCTGCCCGTTCCCTTCCCCGCTCTGCCCTGCGCACCCGGAGGCACCTGGCCCGGCACCGCCGACCGGAAACGAGGTCGACGTCCGCTGGGAGCCCCCTCTGAGTTCCAGGGAGCAAACGATTTCCCGCCCGTAAAACGCCCCTTCGTCCTTGACTCACCCTCTTCCAACCACGGCCACCTCAGACAACTAAAGTTTGAAAAAAAAAGTTTACCTCATTGCCATCATTATAAAAAAGAGTTTATTCAATGGCAAATTGCACATCAGATAGACGTTCACTGCCTACTTGCAATCTAGAGCTAAGAATGAGAACACACCAAGAATAGTAAAATCAAAGCATTCAACAGACTACAAAGGACACACACAATAAACATACTAGTGAGGTATCCAGAGGAACTAGAGATTGCAGCATACTCTAAGGTTTATATAAATGTGTATTTATGTCATCTCCTCAGACTGTTAATGCAAGGAGGATTGTCAAAGAATAAAAGACAAAACACCTGTAGTCAAGATGGGCCAAGACGGATAATGGTCATCTTGGTATCAATAGCTCTCTCGATCTACACAACTAAAACAGATGAACAGTCATACTTCTAATGAACATCATTTAGTTACTTTTAAACAATGGTCTAAGCAAAAACTTCACTATTGAAATCCTATAGGGATAATAAGTTTAATAAACAGTGAGATAAACCATAACCTGCTTTGTACACAAGTGCAGTAAATTGGCAGATTACTTTGGGCAAAATCTGTGGTATCAGACTGTATGACATGCTGTAGTCATCAGAACAATACCACTTAGTTATATGGAATCTCAGGAGTCAAAGACTCAAAATGGCATTTATTGTGAAATGTCATTATTTAACTCCCTGAATTACTGGGTTACATATTTTCTGTGTTAAATGGGAGATGGGAATAGACTCTCTATTGCAACGAAGCTCTAAACCAAACTACTTTTGAGTACAACTCCTTTGAATTGTACTAATTTCCACAATTTCTTTGATTATAAAATGTAAACTGTTGACATCTGAGCTCTATTGGAATAATGCTCTATTTATCAATGATCGACCTTCCAGCAATCACATTAAGGACTTAGTTGATACATATTTTCATCACTGCATCAACAACAAAAAACAAGAAGTTCTAGTCGATTTCTTCAGTACACTTTTCATGCTTCATAGTGGGTCAACATCCATGCTGCAAAAGGTAGTGAACCAACCATTCCTAACAATAAATTCCCTGCATTTTGTTTTTCATCCCTATATTAACTTTTATCCAGTATTTGTTAATACTGACATGGTATGCTAGCAGTATCTGTGAGTTAATGACAATTTGTGGACTCTGTCTCCATCAGTTGACACTGTAAATAGAAGGGTGGAAAAGCCATTGTAAAACAGCCTGGACCTCACTGGCAGACTGGCAGACACTCTTCTTTCAACTCCTTGGGCTCAGAGCAGCCTGAATTATGTCCAGCCAATGTATTAGGTGCAAGTGTACAGAAAGGCAACAACAGAAAATATGCCTATTTCATAGTAATTGACTCTTAGGGTTTGTGTTTAATTTTTAAATTTTTTCTGTATACCAGTCATTGATAGTATTACATCAAAAAGGCAAGTACACATTATATGCATGTACATTTTTATGAAAGTGCCATTCCTTAAAATACTTTATGGAGGCTTGGCATTGTCCTCTAAAATCTAGAAAATAAAGAAAAATGTAAGACCTGAATTGTGAAGGAAGCCTCATCTGGAAAGGGGACTTTCCACAGCTAGGTGTGGAACAGCATTTATGGCATAAATTCTCACCTCCCCCTACACTTTCTCAGGAGCACAGGAAAGGACACCAGTTTCCATCCTTTATGTTAGCCCCGTTCCATCCAAGTGCCTACTAAGGTAGCCTTCCCCACTTCTTCCTGCAGCAACACTGCTGGCAGGGCCTCTTTCCCAGTTTCACTCCCATCCTGCAACTCTTCAGTCACCTGAAAAATAAAAGCCCCTAATATGTGCTGATGGGGCACCATGCCAGCTCCTCCCAGCGAGACAGAAGCAGGAGAGCTTTTGACATTTAGCAAAGATCTTTGTATCCCAGAGGTGGCTGATAAGAAAACTGGAAAGCATCTTCCAACACAATTCTAAGCACCTCTGACAGAGACTTACTAAAGAAAAACCTACAGAACACTTCACTTCTATTTAAGATCCTGAGGCCCCAGCAGACTGCTGTCCTGTGCCCTAAGAGTGAGACATCAGAAACAAAGAGCCAACTGTGATGTTGACATACAGAGCACAGGGTCTCAACTGTGAGTCTGCAAATAAGGAACAAGAAACGCCAAAAGGGGGAAAGGAGTGGGCAAGCTGCATTAGGACTGCTGGTTTCCATTTTTCTCATGGACAGCATCTTCTCGCTTCTAGTGTTAAGAGCTTAGAGCACAGGCCAGTATCTTTCTGTACATTGTGTTTGGTCTGCTGTTCTGTAAAAAGACCACATCTTCCAGGTACTACTTTTCATCCAATTATTCCTAAACAGCCCTATTCTAGCTTATGAAGTTTCCCAGTGATAAGTCAACTTTACTAAGTGCTGTACTTTTATATTATGTAAACAGAGTAAGGCCATTCTCAAAAGCCCATTTTAAACACATTCTGCTAAGTACACAATTGATTTTGCTTTAAAGAGGAATTCTATATGAATATATTTACAAGATTCCTTAGTTCTTTTTAACATTAATAACCATTCCACTGAACAATATTTTGCTCCAATATGTACATGTAACAGCAGTATCTAAAGACCTATATATTGTCAAGTATTTTGGTTAAGCTCTATAACAATTTTCTATATGCACTTTTCCTTGGAAATGAGGAGGAAAAAACATTTTTAACCAAAACCCAACTAAAACTGTAAAGACAGTACTTTGTTGAGCTTGTCATCTCTGGACTGGTCAGAAGGATAGGAGTTTGATCTTGAAGTTCTAGGAGTCTTTCTGTGGCTTTTCATAACCATACACGTAAGTTAGGCTTGGGGTAAAGCAGAGAGGGCAAAGGGGCTCTAGGATGTACTTCCACAAGGTAGCCTCCACGAGGACCATCCTCACCCACCTTTCAGTCTCCCTGGCTGCTTGCAGTCCTAACACATAGTTTGAATGCCAACACATAACGCAGTGGTGAAGAATGCACAGCCTTTGGCATCAGAGACCTAAGCTCAGACACAACCTTCAGTGCACTGCTATTTTCGTGTTTTGCGCAAGGTACTGACGTTATTCTCTCTGGGATTCAGTTTCTCATTTAAGATATGAGTATAGTTCTTTCTCTGTCACAGATTTATTCTGAAGATTAAATTAGGTAATATGTCTAAAGTATCTAGCATGCTCACTAAATAGTTACTATAATTCATAGCAAGGCAGTCCTTCGGTGGGGAATTGGAAGTAAATCCTCTCAAAGAGGAGCAAGTATCTTTCCCTTAAACAAGTCCAGGCACAAGAAAGAGCTATAGTCAGATTGCCAAAATCCTTGCAAACACCTGAATCACAAAGGCCGTGGCATCAGAACTGAGAATGGGCTCCACAGATACTAATAACTAATAACCATCATGACACCAACTAGTCCACCCATTTGAGAACTTTTCACACACTGAAAAAAAGTTTATAAACCGCTCCAGAAACTCACGTGTAAAATAATCTCATACCAATATTACATTCAGATAAGTTAAGTATAGCAAAAAACAAAGTGTAAAACACATGTAAAAGTATTTACTGTCCTAGATACTATACCTGCAGAACTGGCAATAAATAAATTCTCCTCCTTCTAAACTGAGAAACCATGTAAACAAAATTAAAAGAACTCTAGCAATAACCTTCATTTTAACCAAAACTGAACTTTTAAGAAGGTCTGTACCATTGGCACATACAAATGGATTTTCAACAGTAATTGAGTTACTGTGTTAGAATCCTGGCTTCATTCACTAGCTGTGCCATTGACTATGCTTCATCCATTATAAAATAGAAATCATACCACCTAAATAAAGATTGGGATGAAAATTAAGTGGTATACTGCATAGAATGTATGTAAAGTGCCTGGTAATATAAATGGTAATTGTTACCCAATTTTCAGTACAGATAATGAAAAGCAGAAGCATTAATGAAAACTTGCTATATTTACATGGCATTTTTCATATGGGTTCACTAATGATTAACAAGATGTATATTCAGCTGGAAACTTTTCCCACACACAGTACGTTCACGTGGTTCCTCCCCTGCGCGGCTCTTCTGGTGACATGCAAGCTGTGAGTCCAAAATAAAACTTTTTGCACGCGCTTTGCACTTATGGGGCTTCTCCCTTCTATGAATGCTCTGATGGGAAATAAGTTCAGAGATACAAAGGTCATGGCTCACTTAGGACATTTTAAGGGTTTGAATTTTGAGAACAAAAGCAGCTTTTCCCACAGTTGCTGCAGCATTCAGAGTCATTCTCGTGGCCCTTCTTGGGGAGGGCGAGGCGTGAGGGTTGCCTGGGACATTTCACACACTGACTGTTATAGTACTAGGTAGCTGGTGTGTTTTCTCACGCAAAACAAGATTTGTTTTCTGACTAAAATATTTAACAGTGAGTACATTCGTGGGCTTTTTTGGCAGTGTGGGTTTTCTGATGCTGTGCCAATCCTGGGAGCCACATAAAACCTGTCCCACATATGCCACATGGCAGGGTTCTCCTTTACGTGGACATTCACGTGCCGAGACAGGCGGGAGGGCTGGCAGAGGCTGCTGCTGCTGCACCTGCGCACTTAGCAGGCTTCTCGCCAGGACGGATTCTCCTGTGTGTCCTCAGGTTGGCGCTGTGATTAAAAATCTTCGCAGTCACTACATTTATACTTATTGTCACCTGAATGCGTTTTCTGGTGCAAAACAAGGTGTGAATTATCACTGAAGCTTTGGTCACAGTCAGGACACTTGTATGAATTTATGGCTTCTTCCCCAGGAAACTCAAGAATTTCACAAAGTGCTGTGGCTCCTAAACTGCGTGACAGTTGTATGAATGGGGCCTCATTTTCTATGGTAACTAAAGGCTTATGAAGCTTTTCCTGCCAGCGGAGTCACATCTAATACTTTCCTCTCAGGGTTTCCAGCCCCATTCTCAGAGGAGGCTTCTGGGCAGCAAACAAGGGGCACGGCAATGAAGTACTTTTCTAGGGCAAGCTCTTCAAACGCCAGAGTCTAGATTTAACTGCTGAGTAAGCTCGGTCCTCATTTCCCCTCCTGTTGATAAAAACAAAACAGCAAAGTATAGACAACAGAGATAACTGTTGAGACATTCAAGAGATTTGGAGAGAGAACAAGCTAGGTTAGTTACCCAGGGGACCAGGAAACTGTGATGGCTTATCCTGTAGCCCAGATACTGATAATATACCACATCAGAAGCCAGGAGGCTCGACTGGCTTCCCAAAGGATCTAGTTCTAGGTGAGCCTTCGAGAAGAGAAAGCACAAAATAGCTATACCTAAGTCAGGGCCCAATGGGAGAGTTGCTAAGAACATTTTTTAAATTAAAGTATCATTGATACACAATCTTATGATGGTTTCAAATGCACAACACAGTGGTTCAACTTTCACCATGTTATCAAGTCCCCATCCCCTCCATTGCGGTCACTGTCTATCAACGTAGTAAGATGTTATAGACTCATTAATTGTATTCTCCATGCTGTACTACCATCTAAGAGCAATCTTGATAGACACTGCCTAGAGGTGGGGTTTTCTAGTTTGTCTATGTAGGTCTCAAGAGCTTTCTACAGTTTAAGCAGTTCCATGTGACAGGTGAGCAACCACAACTGGAAAAAAGGTTGGGATTCATATTTGTCAAGAAAGAAAGAGAGCAAGCCAGTATTTTTCTACCTAGCAGAGAAACACTCTGGTTATTAGGAATTGTTTTATTGTCACCAGGAGTTTCCCCAAATTTTTTTACTGCTCCCAGAGGGAAGATCAAGGTAGAGCTGTTACATGTCCTGCAAGCAAATAATAACCAGTATCACCACTAGGATGGCTGACAAAATGCAGGCCTGACAAAAAAAAGCATTCCTCTTTAATTTTACCAAATACCCTTAATGTATAAAGCCAATATATTAGTACAAAAGGGATCTCTCCTTCCAAAGAGACAGCCCCATGATTGTCTCAGCTCACTGTCCGGAAAGGGTTCCTGGGCTACAGTGCAGCGTGTGGGAACCCAGAGGTACCCAGTGGTTTTGCTGATTTGAGGAAACCAACTTCAGGGATGTCAAGGTAGCTAGAATTTGACAGTGAAATACCAGAGAAGAAGCAGGTGCTCAGGCAGAGCATTCTGGTCGTCTAGATGGGGTCACCTCAAGACTGGCTGAGTACTTATCTGTGAATGCATGGGAGGGAACTACCCCCAGCCGGGAAAAGAGCCACCAAAATGAAATAGGCAGAGTGATTTTGAGAGTTCATGTAATAGTCCACATTCCTGCCAACCAAAGTGGAAAGACCCCCCCCCCCACCGCTACCCCAAGCACACAGGGCACTGGGCAGTATGTTCAGAAAGACATTGACTTAGCAAAGGCCAAATCAGCCTTAGACTAAGGGTTGCTCTGAACACACCCTAACAAGGCAAAATCGCTCCCGAGTGATTTAAATGCATCCCACAACAAAGTCCAAAAATATTTTTTATATCACTACAAAAGCCAACATCCAACAAAATAAAACTTACAATGTCCAGCACCCAGTCAAAAATTGTAAGGCATATAAAGAAGCCAAAGAGCATGACCCTTAACTAGGAGCAAAATCAGTCAACAGAAACAGACCCAGAAATGACACAGATGATAAAACTTGTAGAAAGAGTGTAAGAATAGCTATTGTAAACATACTCCACATGTTCAGCAAGGTAGAGGAAAACATGAACATGATGAAGAGAAAGTAGAAAATAGAGACGAGGAATTACGGAGTCGGTCAAACAGTCAGCCCGAGTCAGGGGTAAACTCTCCTCAGGCGTAGGAACATTTCTGCATATAGTGCCCCTGAGATGAAAAAGGCACAGCACCCCCTTAAGAGTAAATCAATTTCCACTCTTTAGCAAATGAAAGTAACTTATACTAATGGGGTGTTTCAAGTAAAATTGTGAATTGACTATAACAAATATTTGGCAAGATTACCAGGCATTGCCATGTCTCATGCAAAACCACAGTCACTGTACTAGACAGGCTTGTTGTCTTTTAAAAATCATTTCATCCTTTGAAAAATGCTCTCTTGTGCAAGTTATCATATCCACATAAATCACCCAAGGACAGGTTCCACTTGCTGATACCAACATGTAAATTAGACATGAAATCCTAATCCTAGAACTGACTAAAGTTCCAGAATGCAGGAAAAACTGCCTTATCCATCAAGGCCATATCCTCAAAACACTCGTGTGTGAGGTCTCTGCTGAAGGACCCTGGGCAGGGTACAGACTCACACACTCCTCTTGTGACGAATCCACAGCCAGATTCTCAAACAGCATGGGTCCCCGAAACGACATGAAAGCCCATCTCAGGACAAGAGGCAAGAAGCCCACCCCCTTAGTAGAGGAAGGCTGAGAAGAGAGAAACATCAGATGCAAGGGAGAAAAAGGGCTTGGTGTAAAAGGGTCGTGTGCTGGGGATGGGGTCTAAGCGGATTCTAAGGGCTGGTGGTGGGTACTAGGAAGAAGATAGTAAAAATGGACATAATATTTAAGGATCAAGGCGGTAACTGTGAGTTGTTCTAGAAGAGACTTCTAGAAGAAACTACCACAAGAGAAAAGATAAGGGGACAGCTCTCAGGGAGGGAAACCATTATGCAAGGATGCTCTCAGGGAAAAAAGAGCGAGCAGCCCAGGGAGAATCATGAATGGGGAAGGTTTCTAGTGTTCTGTCAACATCCTTCCCTTTGCTGGTCCCTCTCCTTCCGCATGACGCTCATTGCTAAACTCAAGGTAGCATCACATCCCGACCTATTATTCCTTCCCTAAGTTTACCAGCTCTATGTCAATAGACTTTGGCGTGATTAAATGGGTTTTGTTTGCTCATTCAGGAGAGGAATGAAGCCCAGAAATCTCAAGTTTGGGCAGCATGTCAGAAAGACCCTTTGCGCACTCGGTTAGAGCCATCTCCGATGGGCGCTGTTCCCAGGCGGTGGTTCCGAGAGGAAGAATTCGATAAGCCATTTCTCCTCACGCCTCATCCAGGAACGAAGACAGCGGCTCCCCATTTGGGGAACTAGGGCCCTCCCGTCCGACCGGCACGCCTAAGCCCCCTGACAAAGGAGCGCGGGACAAAGGAACTTGGACGCGGGAGGGGGCCTGGTCTCACCCGGAGTACGCAGAACGGGAGCAGCGGTCCTAAGGATACATGAGAACCTGCGTAGGACGCTCACCTGGCCGGACGGCCGGCCAGGCTTCCCCGGCCCGACTCCCGCTAGGCGCCGGCGACCTTAAAGCCCAAGCGCCAACCCCAAATGCGGAGCGTCAGCCAAGCACTGGGCGGCCGTGAGCAAGCCTCGCTTCCGGGCCTCCCCGTCTGTGCGGGCGGCGCTCAGGCCGCCCCATGAGCCCGAGCCCCCCACCCAGGAGCGCACCGCCGGCGCCCACGCAGACCCAGCTCGGGAGCGTGGAGCCCCGCCTCGCCCCGGCTGCCGCCCGCGAACACGCCCCTCCGCGGCCGGGACTCGCGGCCGGCCTGCCCTCTCCTAAGATGGCGGCGTCGGCGGCGTCGGGAGGCGGGGCCCACGGGGCCCTGCGGCCAATGGGTTTCCGGCCTGAGCCGCGGGCCCGGCACGGGAGGCGGAAGTGCCGCGGGCCGCCGCCTCCGTCCCGGCTGCGGCGCCTGCCAGTTACATAACTCTGCGGGCTCCGTGTGGCGCCCCTTCCCGGCTCTGGCGGCCCCGGGATGCGCTGAGCCCCACCACGCCGTCCGCTGCCGCCGGCTCCCGCCCAAGGTGAGGCCCCCCCCGTTCGGACCTGCTGTGGGCGAGCGGGCCGTGAGGGGGAGCGCGGGCCCTAGTCGGCCGCGGAGGGAGGCGCGGGGCGTGGAGCGGCGGCGGTCCGGCCCGCGAGGTGCGGGGGGCGCGGTTCCCAGCGTTGCGTGGGAACCAGCTGTTTGTCTGGGGCCCCCCTGTGCCAGGCCCCAGGGCGAGCGGGTGGGGACACCTGGAGCCCGGGGGCAGCCCGCCGAGCCGCCCTCGAGGTGGGGGACCCGGCCTTCGCGTAGTTCAGCGATTTGCCGCCGCCTCGCCCGGCCCCACCTCTGCTTTGGTACTTGTTGCACAGAGAATATTTGCCGGCTTGTGTGCCCTCCTGTGACCTCCCGAGAGCCTGGGGCTCTGTCTGTCGTTCCCGTGTCCTGCTCCCTCAGCTGGACGCTTTGGTATTAAAACAAATCAATCCCTTACTTTTCTGATAGTTTACAGACTGGCATGCAGACCCTACGCCAACTGACCTCCGTCGAATTGGGCACTTCCCAAGGAATGGAGGGAATGGGTAGCTTCTATGGCTTGTCCCCCTGGGAAACTTTTCTGGGAGGCGGTGGGCCTTTGGGGGACCGCCAGCATCAGATATCCGTGTGCCCAGCGGGAGGCCTGGGGATGAGGCAGGAACTTTGCAGTAAACATGGACATTGGCTGCTGCATTGACCTGCCTTCACTCTGCCGAGGCCTTGAGCCGCAGGATTTGCGTGTTTGTCCTGATGGAAGGGCATACCAGCCCCACACAGTAGCTCCCTGTTGCCCTTGGGGTGGTTGTTAATTGGACTGTCAGAACTGGAGAGAAGATTGCCGGTAGCAGAAGTTTTACCACAGCACTAAAAGCAGAAAACCTCTAGTTAATGCTTACCTGAGTGTAGGTCATAAATACCACATCCCCGTAGCCCTTCGTGACATAGAGACAAGTGCGGGTTCTTTGGCCAATAGTACTCAGCCTGCGTGGTGGGACGAAGGGGAGTCTCGAACATCACTTGAGTTCGAAGGTGGGAGGGCAACAAAAAATTTGCTCGCTCGCTCGCTCACTCGCTCTCATGAAAATCCCTGAATTGCCTTATGTTCGGAGAAAATGGAATTAAAAGCTAGAGGAAACTCAAGGGTGGCTGAAAGGTAAGTCCCAGTCACCTTCCAAATGGACAAGTGGCAGTCATGGCAGTGCACACATTTCTCTCTTTCTGGGATTTTGTACCCATCAGAATTAATGTGCCAGTCGGCCCAAGCGCTGCCTCCACTGTGCCGTCGGTGCTGGAGTCCCATCTCATTCAGCTTGCAGACCCTCGAGGCTGCTATGAAGACAGTTGAAACCTGTAAGTAACCAAGTCAAGACATGGTGTGGTGTTAAAAGACCACATAAAAAAATACAGACACTTAAAAAAAAAATCTGCGTGTATCCTACGTGAGCCCCTCCCAGTTGTGACTTACAGTGACTCTGGCACTGTGTTTATTTTAACCACACCCACTCATAGACTTCAGGTATGACTTGTTGAAATTGCTTAGCAACAGCAAGCCTCTTCCTGGGAAGGCTGAAAATTCCTGGATGTTAGACTGGAGTGATACAAGGTGCTTTACACCTGAACGGGGCAGGGAAGCTGTGCTTGATGACTGGGTGCCCTGCCAACCCTCAGTGGACCTGTTAGCAGCAGTTTGGTTCTTGGCAGCCTGCGGAGTGTTCAGACCTGGTGGACACAGCATCCTGACATTGCAGCAACCACAGGGAATACAATGTGGAGAGGACTCCTCAGAGCTGAGGGCAGAGCAGAGGTCTCCCTTTGTTGGTGACAGCCCTCCTACCTGAATAGAAAGCTGGCTGCTTATTGACAGTGTCTTCTCTTAAAGGGTGGCCCCCTCCACCCCTGCCAGCTCTGCATCTTATTGCCATCGCCTCCCCTCAACAACTCTTTCTGGAAGGAATCCACAAAGCCCTCACAGTGTTTCCGTCTCAGGTCCTTGTTTGTCGTCCTGTGTCTGTGTGCAGGGCTCTCAAGTGCAGTTCTGCTCTGCAAGCAGCGCTGGGCCTCCAGGGCTTCCTGGCTAAGTTCAGATGCTGAGTGTGATGTAGCATGTGTTTGTGAGTGTCTTTGATAATTCCAGATTAGGCCTCCTTCCTTAAATACCATTCTTTTTAGCTTGATCTCTGATAGAAGTTGGCTGGCAGGCCAGTTTGGGTTATCTGAAGCCCAGATATCTTATTGCTGATTAAAGAGAGACCTACGTGTTTGAAAGCCCAGCGAGCATACAGTAGGTTACTATTCTGCTGTGAACCTTATGGTGTTTGCCCAGTGCTTGTGGAACAATGGGAAGGGGGTCTGCCCAGGCCTGGGCTTCCTGCAGGAAGTGGTTTGGGGTCCATGTCAATAGTTGAACCAGTCCTCAATGGCTCTCAGTGGGTCACTGCGGAGGCTGACAGACATGTGACCGTCACCCCAAGGAGGCCCCAGCACTGAGCTGAGATGGTCAGGTAGAGGTGAAGTAACAGCAAACGAGAGCCAGGTCCCTGCCCTGTCAGGTCAGGACTTCAGACTCGTCATCCCCTTACCTGAGATGGACTTCCTGCTCAAGAAGGGGCCACACATGCCACAATAATGTCATGAGTCATTTGAGTGTGACAACGTAGAGATGTTAAACTGCCTCTTCAGATTATAAGTAGAGTGATCATCCACTTTGCCCCAAAATAGACCCTCTCAGTGCCAACTTTTAACTCCGTACCCTTAGAATAGCATGGCGTTTTGTACTCTGGTGCCAGAAACAAATGTCATGAACATAGATTCACAGCTGTAAAGAAACAGAGGAGACCGTTGTGGGAAGGGACATGGACACATTTGGGAAAGTCTTTGTTGCCTTTGCTTCCACGGGAAAACCAGAGAAAAATGTTGTCGTCTCTAACAGACCATGTTAAAACAAGAGATGCCTCCCAGTCCTGCTTCTTGCTGGATAGCCCCTGTGTGCTATTAGACATCAAACTGTGTTCCTCCTTTTTTGTTTATGCGTTCCTGAGATAGGACCTGTTCGGGCAGCGAAGTTTTGAAATCTGAGCCTCTTTTCAAAATAACTGAGAAAGCAATTTTATTTTATAAAATAGTCTATGGGTAATTGTCCCTTAGGTACTGAAAAGAATCCTTTTCTGGAAAATGTTAACCCAGTAATACTTCCATTATTTCTATAGCGTTCACGGGAGGGCTGTTGGAGACTTTTTTCAGACTTGTTTCTTTTTGGAAGATGACTCCTGACTAGTTGTAAACTATTCAGAAGGTCTTGCTGGTCAAATATTTGCTGCTCTTCCTACTCTTAGTTTCAAATTGCTTTGCATCTCCTCTGACCTCTCATTGTTAACACCTCCACCGAAATATATATACAGAAAAGTCCACGCCTGACAGTTGATAATGGCATCATGTGCCTGTACCACTCCCCAGCCCCCAGCCCCACCACCGGAAGACTCCTTGGGCCCCTTCCTGGGCAGGCTGTCTCCTGTTAAAAATTTTTATTTACTTGCAGGAAACACAAGAAACCATTGTCATTTTATTGGGCACAGAGTGAGTAGGGGGTGCTCAGTTTCTGCTTTCGATTGCATTTGAATTCTTACTTTACTATCAACATGTGTTCAGAGTGAAACAAAAAGGCCTAAGAGAGTACGCCCCTCCTCAAGAAAAGGAATGTTCTTTTTAAATCGCTTTTAAAAATGGTTGTCTAAAACTTATAAATGAAACTTTTAAAAGTGAATTTTATATGGCCACACGAATAGCTTTTTAATGATTACCCAGGAACCCTTCAAAGTATTTTTACGTGTCTGTTCGGTGTTCTTATCCACAACCGCCTCCTCTTTGCTTCTTTACAGCTTTGGATCTGTGTTCAGAACATTTGTTTCTGGCACCGGTGCACAAAATGCCATGCTGTTGCAAAGGTACAGGGGTTTAAAGGTGGGTGCTAAGAGAATCTGTTTGGGGGCAAAGTGGGTAATACAATTTGAAGAAACACTAAAATTTCCAAGTTGTTACTAGTTAAAACAGTCCATGAGATTATTTTAATAAAAATATGTTCATGATTTTCACATACCACCTGAAAGTCTTTTTTTTTTTTTTTTATGATAAAACAACCCAAGCTCATTGTAA